AGTCAGACCCCGACTTTGCTCAGTCCACCTTCCCCATCAGTAAAACGAAGGTGATCACACCTACAGCCGTGTGGTGAGGACCAAACAAAGGCTCAGCGAGTGCTGGTGATAAGTGTTGCAAGTGTCCACAAACAAAGCTCTCTCGTTCGCTTTGAGTTGGGCGGCGACCGGTGACCGGCCCTCAAAGGCTGGGTCTGCGTTCACGCCTCACCCTGGCTCATCTCTTCTCCACGGTGCCCAGAGCTAACTTCTGAAACAGTGTCAGACCGTGTCATTCTTCTACTTGAAACCTTCCAAATGCTTCCCACAGCTCCACGAAACCCACCTTTCTTACTGAATGCCCCCACCCCTCCCCACTCCACAACACCTCCCGCGACAGGGCTTCCACCCACCACTCTGAGCTCGGGGTGTGCCCTCTTTCCCCCAACGTTCTCCCCGGGTTTCACTCATTTCCCAGAGGCCACAAATGACTTTTCACTGAGGGCCCTTCTGCTTGGGACACTCAGCCACCAGCTTCCATGTAGACGCTTATTCTTCAAGTCTCCACTCACATGTGACCCCAGGGCTTGGTCGCCCTCTTGGAGACGGTCTCCCCTACTCACGACCACAGTGGCTGTAGGCCCCCTTGCCTGTGGCAGACTCAGGTCCCTGCCATCACCTCCCAGGATAGAAGGGCTGGTGTTTGGGGCGAAGGTGGAGGAAACCCAGTAGCACCCCAGGCCTCAGCCAAGCAAGAGAGCACCTAGAAAGGCAGCCTCAGGGACCGTTAGAACATGCTGGAACAATGACAGAGCCTTCAGAATTCCAGGAAAGCCTAAAAAGCCCCATCAGGACATCCGGCCCACTCAGTGGTGGGGCAGGCTGGACGCTGATGTGGTGACCTGGAAGGGTTCGGGCAGCTTGCTGGCTGCAGGGTCAGGGCCCAGGGCCCTGCCCAATCGGAACCAAGTAGAAATCTCCTCCAGGGGTCTTTCAGTTTCGGAGGAGACCATGGGGTCAGTGGAGCCAGGAGGCCCCGGAGGAGGAGAGAGCAGCAATGCAACATGGTGGGGGCCGGAACTAGACCCGCAGACAGTACGTCCCAAACTGCGGGTGTTGACCCACTGGAAAGTCACGAAATCAGTGTAGCGGGGTGTGACTCACGTGTTTAGAATTTAAGAGAGAAAACCAGAGGGCACTGCAGAAACGCTGTTTCACTACATATGTGGGTGTTTATGTGTGCACAGGTCGAAGCTGTTGAGATGAACAAATGCATTTTTTACCATGAGCTCCAGTTTTTGTAAAAAGGCTTGACAGCTGCTGCCCTTGAAAGGATGAACAGACACCACAGAGGGTCATCCCCCCCAAAGGGCGGGAGGTGGAGACCCAACCCTGCGGATTCCCGGAGGTCATCAGACCCTACTTGGTTTGGGGGGGAAGCACTGGGGTTGGGGCCAGCCAGAGCTGACTGCCTCGTCCTGCTTGTGTGGCTCTGAGCCACACACCTAAGGTCTTTGGCTTTGTCCCTCGCAGGCGTTAAGTAATGCCCAGTAGCGACCTCACTCATGGGGGTCACCAGTTAGTGAGGTTCCTCTCCAGCATCCTGATGATGTTGGTTTGCAGGGCCCTTGGGGGCAGCAGAGGCCCCATGGGGGTTTCTGCCCCTCCTGCCCCGAGCCTTGCCTGGTAAGCTGCCGGGCAGTTGGCTGCCTAGGACCCCCATCCCCTGCCCCATCCATCCCAGCACCTTCCAAGGTGCAGCTGAGAAATAATGAGACAGCAGACTAGAGGAAAGAGATCCAGGAGAGGAAAAAGAAACAAGTTTTATTTAAGCCCCAAACACTTGGCTAGAAAAACCAAAAAGGAAAGAGAGCAGGGAAGTGGGGAGAAGAAAAAGGACATTAAAAAAGAGAGAGACAGAGAAAACACAGCAACCCTTTTCCATTTAGAAATTGTCAAATTACACTGACAGAGGTCACAGAATATCCACAGAAGCCATCACTGCTACACCAACACGGGCCCTACGGGGTGGACCGGGCGGGGTGTGGAGCCAGGGCTCGCCCCGGGGGGCCCCGCCTGGGACCCCTCTCAGAGCCTAAGGCTCCTGGGGAAACAGCATATTGTGGAAGGGGCAGGAAAGAAAGCCCCATGCGAGTTACACAGCACAGTGGGCGGGGGCTGGGGGGACCAGGTACAAGGGGCCCCCCAGACGGTTCGGCTTTCTCTTGGTCAAGCACACACTGATGGACAGAGCAGCGAGGCGCATGCAGCTGGGGGGGCATTGACGTGCTGCGGGCTTTGCGAGGGCCGTGGGGACGGGGGCTCGGGAGGGCGGCCGGAGTAAGTGGTGCAGGGACGATGGAACACACCCAGAGGCATGTCCACACACCTGGGTCTACACGCATTTGCACACTCATGCGCAGGTCACAGGCACCCCTACGTCCACACGTATGTGGCCCACACACTCAAGTCTCCCGAAGCGACACACATCTGCATACGCACATTCCATGCGTTCTCACACGCAAAGCCAATGTGCAGGTGGGCACGTGCTGATGCCCACGCGGGTTACACACACCGACGTGCACACCCCTCCCTGAGCACGACTGCGGAAGGTCACACCCATGCAGACACATGCTTCTCCCCGCACGTGGGTGAGCGGACTTGTGCCGGTGCGCCCGCGCGCGCGCACGAGCACACACACACACACACACACACACACACTCACAGGCTGCACACAGTTCCACACAAACGCCTCTCAACCCGTAATGTGCAGGAGCCAAAGTGAAAGAAGGTTCTGCGAATCCCACCGGGCTCCACGTGAGCAGGTGGGGTGGGCCCAGGGTTCCCTCCGTCTGCCCCCTCGCGGATGGGCACTCCCCCCGCTTCCCTCTCCCCCCACAAAGGGACATTCAACTCAAGACAATGACGGTGGGACACACATTCAGGTCACAGGGCTGAGGGCGGGAGCAAGTGAGAGTAGCAAGCAGAGAGGAATGGAGTGGAGGGAGGAGGGGGCACCACTCCCCCCTCCCCTCCCAAGTCAGAGGGTCTCTGTACAGCCGAATCAAACCAAACCTTGTCACTGGACCACAGAAGCCAGGCCGGTGTGCCCGCCCTCCAGCCCCCCTCCCCCGCCAAAACAGCGGCCAGGGAGAGAGTGGTTTTCTTTTTTTTTCTTTTTTAAATATTTATATATATTTATATTACGTATATTATATATATAATATGTAAATATATTTTTAAAACAATATAAAATGTTAAGACACTTCACTTAAATGTAAAGAGTTGCCTGCAATTAGAAGTAATTGCATCATTTATGAGGTCCTTTTTTTTTTTTTTTCTGTTTTCCAGGGTATTTTTTTTTTCAGGAGGGATTTTTTTTCCTCTTCTTTTGTTCTTTTTCAAAAAGGCTTACTTGCCTTTGTACAAAAATGATTCAAAGCTAGAAAACAAGGATGAACCAACAAAAGCAAAACAAAACAAAAAGAAGAGAGAAATGAAGAAACACAACCCAATTTTCCCTCCCTCCCCCAACCCTCCACAGCTCCCCCGGGCTCTCCCGAAGAGAAGAGAGGGCCTTCCCACTAGGTCCCGGGGTCTAGGAGGCGCCGCCCCTTCCGTGGCTCCTTCTTTCTGTGCTTACTAAGGGAGAGGAACCCCAGCCCCTCCCCTGTGCTTACCCCGCTTTGTGCTCCAAACAGGAACCCTGCTCCCCGGGGATCCCCGCCATCCTCCTCCTCCTTCCCCACCCACGGAATCCCCCTGCTGGCCCCTCTGCCCCCTGGGGGGCCAGGGCTGAGAACCAGAACTGGTTTCTCCCTCCCATTTCAGGACCTGGCCCTTAGCCGCGGTGTGGGCAGCTTCCACAAGGCCGGCGTCCCAGGCCGGGGACGCTGGCTGACCCGTCAGGCCTCAGGGACCGGCAAGGATGTCCCCAGAGATCGCCAGCTCCTCATTAAAAACTGTGTGTCTCACCCCTTCCCTGAAAACCTTCAACTCTCAAAAGAGCATGGATGAAGGTCAAGTCACCCTGCCCCAGGGTCAGAGCCATCCTCACTGCCGCTGCCACCTGTCAACCTCCTCTGTGTGCCCCCATTTCCCTTACAGCCACACCCTGCCCACCCTCCAGGCCTCACAGTTTAATTATCTAGGCCCTTCATTCTCGCCCGCCCCACCCCCATTAAATAAGTTAATGTCATTTAAAGTGCTAAATTATAAACGAAAAGTATCAAATACCCCTCTTCTAGGCTACCCTCTCCCAGGGCAGTGTCCCCAGGGTCAGGCTGTCTGCTCAACCCCCGTCCACAGCCAGCGGTGGTCCCAAAGGGCCGGCAGCCCCTCATCACAGGAAGGGGGTCCCAGGACCAAGACACAGACCCAAAGGGCTCACAGACCTCTGAGGCCCCTCAATCTCTAAGGCCCCTTCTGGGCCCCAAACTCTCAACTCCAGGCCCTCCAGGGCACAGGTGGGAGGGCGCCAGGCAGCCGCCACGCTCCCTCGTCGGTCCCGAGCTTGCAACACGCAGGTCGGCCGCCTCCGGGGCTGGGCCGAGTCTGCCTGCGTCCCGTGTTCCAGTCCGATGGTGGGGTGGGTCCAATGTCCAGGTTTTCCTCCAGGGAGGTTCCCGAGGAAGGGGCGGAGGCGTCTCGCTGCTCCAAGTCTCCGTGGCTCAGAGTTCGTTTGGAGCGCTCTTGGGAAGTTGGGGGGAGGGGAGGGGGGAGAGGAGGGGGAGGGCACAGGAACTTCAGCATGGACTTGGACAGAGGAGTGGCGAGAGAGAAAAGGGAGGGAGGGTGGTAGAAGTGGGCCATTTTGGAACAGGAAACCAAAGGAAGGTGGTGTGTTTTGGTTCTCAGTTTTGCTCTTTTTGTTGTTGTTGTTAAAAAAAAAGAGGACGATTAAAAGTGAATCATTAAAAAAAAGAGAAACCACCAACAGGGAATGAGTAGAGAGAGGTGAGAAGGCCCACACCTGTGGCAACCCTTGGTGGGGGGGGGTCTGGAGCATGGGGGGTGGGGGGGTGGAGGGAAGCGTAGGGAGATCAATGGCAGGGGTCGGGGAGGGGTCAGGCTGGGTGGAGGTGTGAGGGGGCTTCTAGAAGGAGATGGAAGAATTCCTCGCCCCAAACGAAGTCAATACAGGGATAGAGGTTCTGGAGGCCGAGGGCTTTTCTGAGACTGGGCTTGAGGTCTCGCTCGACCCGCTCGTCTCCCTAGACGGTTTAGTGGCCTGGAAAAAAACAGCGGTCCCGGGTCAGAGAGAGGAAGGGAGGGCCTGCATGCTGGCCCCCAGCGGAAGCCTTAAAAAATGAAAACCTGCACATATTCAAGAGAAAATTAACTGCAAAAGGAAGAAACCAGAGGGGCAGCTGAAGAGAGTGGCCCCCCTGAGACAGGGCAGGGGGCCACAGCAGGGGCAGAGTTGGCCCGGAGGGCCTGGGGGCCAGGGTGGGAATGTGGGTCCGAGGTCACTGACAGGACAGAGAGAGGGTGGGAGAGAGAGGCCAGAGAAGCACGAGGGAGACGCACCAGGGCCAGTGGACAGGGAGACGGGGGGGCGTGGGGGAGGGGACAGGAAAGGAAAGGAAGAAATGGAACATTAGCCACCACAGAGGTGCGTGCCCTCGGAGCAGGGAGGGAGTAGGTGGGCTCTCTGTGCCCGCTGGCCAGCAGCCCAGCCAGGGTCCCTTCCTACCCGACTCAGCGGGAGGCTGATTCTAAGCGGAAGGTTCTGTGGTGGCCCAGGAGGAGTGAGCGTGTCCTCCCGGGGAGCCCCTCTCTGCTGAACCTCCCCACCCCCACCCCACCCTGGAGGAAGAGGCGCTCCCTGCATGGAGCCTCCCTCTCCACCTCGCCCGGGTCACAGTTGCTTCAGCCTCCAGCCCGGCCTTGTGAGTCAGGGAGCTCACTCCCTCACCCCGGGGTGACAGGCCTTGCGCGGGGCCCAGGCAGCGCTGAGAGTCACAAACAGTCCAGTCCCTTCCCGCCTCCAGCAACTCCCTCCCTGCAGGTCTGCACCGTTCCAGAGCCATCTGCCTCACCTCAAGGGAATGACAGGTCACAAATGCAGATTCCCGGGCCCGCTCCAGAATCCACCTCCGGTGTGGGCTCAGGAGCCTGCGTGTTAGGCAGGAGTCCCGGGTGGTCCTGCTGCACGCTTAACTTCGAGATCCGCTGGGTTAGGGCTGCACAGCCCGGTTTTCTCCCTGTCCCTCCTGGCCTTACTTAGCTACTAGTGCAATAAGTGAACCGTATTGATTTAAAAAAAAAAAAAAAAAAAAGGACAGAAAGGGCCCTGGCCAGGTGGCTCAGTCGGTTGGAGTGTCTTCCCATACACCAAAAGGCTGTGGGTTTGATTTCCCGTCATATCAATGTCTGTCTGTCTGTCTGTCTGTCTGTCTCCCCCCCCCCTTTTCCTCTGTCTCTGAAAGTCAGTGGACATATTATTGGGCGAGGATTAAAACAAAGACAGCCCTGGCTGGTGTGGCTCAGTGGACTGAGGGTGGCTGGTTGGATTCCCAGGGCACATGCCTGGGTTGCGGGCCAGGTTCCCCAGTAGGGGGCGCGTGAGAGGCAACCACACATTGATATTTCTCTCCCTCTCTTTCTCTCCCCACTTCTCCTCTCTCTAAAAGTAAATAAATAAAACCTTTAAAAAAAAGACAGAAAGGAAGAGGACTGGAAAGAGAATGCTGTGGCCCGTCGCCAGAGGCCTCCTGCAGTGAGGTCCGGGCCGGGTCGGCCGGTTTCCCACGACCTACACGATCAGCCAGCTGCTGGGTCAGCTCTTTGCAGGGGGAAAGCCAGACCGTGGCCCCGGCAGCCGGGAAGGGAAAGGAGCCGGCATGCAGCCTGACCGCTGACTTGAACCTGCCCTTGTGGCCGGTGGCCAGTTCTTCTTCCCCACTGCCCGTAGACTCCCCCTGGTTTGCTCACCACACTGCAGCTGCTTACACTGCCCCCTTGAGGAAGAGCAGGGCAAGTTCCCCACGGGTCTTCCACCCCTCTCTTGACTGCGGCCGGGCTTGGTCCCTGTTCTCCGGGCCCAGTACTGACGCCCCAAGAAAACTCATTTAAAGGCAACCAAGAGCCTGGCTGGTGTAGCTCAGTGGATTGAGCGCAGGCTGCGAACCAAAGCATCGCAGGTTCGATTCCCAGTCAGGGTACATGCCTGGGTTACAGGCCACAGCCCCCAGCAACCGCACATTGATGTTTCTCTCTCTCTCTTTCTCTCTCCCTTCCCTCTCTAAAAATAAATAAAATCTTTAAAAAAAAGGCAACCAAGAGCTCTCTTGCTCCCCTACCTTAAGCTCCTGCCCTGCCCCTCCCCTTCCACCCTTTCCTGTTCCAAGTTCTCTCTCCCAAAGCCAGGTGGGAGAGTCCAGGCCCCTCTGCTTCCTCCCCGGGGCCCCTCACAGCTCACGTCCCAGCTGTTTGGTTCCCTCCCAGCTGTCCTCTTTGTGCTCAGCCCATCTCTAGTTAAAAGCGTTTTCTGTTCCTTCACGGGAGCGCTTGTTAAAAGCCTCCATCCATTCCGAGCTTTGGTCTTTAAAACACCTGCCCCCCCCCCTTGGGCCTCCACCTGACTCATGCGTTTGCTCAGGTGAGGTGCCCTCACCCAGGTGGTGCCCCCCTCCTGCCAAGGCCGGCGACCATCAGCTCTGGGCGGAGTCCCCGCAGGCGCCCCTCCCCCCAACCCGCCATCTTCCCGGAGACCTCCTACGGTGACTCCATGAGCATCTGCTTGGTAAAATTCTCTCAGGCCATCTTCCTTCCCAGGAGCCTGGCCGCGGCAATGGCCAAAACCCACTTTCCTGAAGCTGGGGGAGCTCCATGTCCATCCGTGCCTGTGACCCTGCCCTGTGCTGCTCAGAAGTCTCAGGTGACACAGCTGCTGTCTCTGAAGGTTCCTGCCACTGGCGTTTCACCAGCCAGTCCTCTCCTGTTGCTCCTAATCACGTTCGGAGAAGCGGAGCTTTGTCACCTTTGTGGCGGGGCAGAAACCTCACAAATGTTCAGCTTTCAGCCAGGGGGGAGACTGGAACCCGTGGCTGGGGCCCAGAGGGCTGAGCCCAGCATCCTTCCCCTTCCCATGGGTCAGAGGTTAGCAGCCCCGCTACGCCCTCAGCGTGCTGACCTGTCCCTCCACACTACGACACACAGATTTCCATACAGGTGTAATCCTCCCGACGCGGCAGACCCTGCTGGCGCCTCCCCCAGGGCCACGCCCAGTGCCACCTCCCCCCCCACCCCCCGCCCACTAGCCCCTCTTTCTTGCTATCTGCCTGACCCGGGCCCTGGACTGTCAGGAGAGACGGGGCTTCTCCCAGCGCTCGGTGGGTGGGTCCTGATGAGTCTACGGCTGAAGTCCCAGCTCTGCCACTTCCTCATCGTGTGACCCTAAGCAGAGTCTCTGGAGCCTTCCTGTCCTCACCAGCAAGGCAGGGAAAACAGCCCCGGCAGCATCAGAGTCACACGAGATGATGCACCACAGAGCCTGGGGCCAGTGTCTGCGCCCAGGACCTGACAGACGGAACAATTATTACTTATTGTCATGTCACTGTAACCCTTCAGGTCTGCTTTGTCTGTTTCCATCTGGTTCGGGCCTGACTCCTGGCGAATTCCTTCATCTATTCACTCACCTGCCCAGTAACTGTTTACTGAGTGCCCAAGGGGGCCAGCCACTGCTGTAGGTGCGGAGGGGTTAGCAGCGACAAATCAGATCCAGCACATAAGTTGTTATGAGGATTAAGACACGTAAACTTGGTGCATGGAACGTGTACTGATTATTTTCTGTCTGCCTCTCCGACCCCCCTCCCCCCAATCCAAGTCCTGCCCTGCGCCTTGGCTGGCTGACCCCCCACCCCACCCCCAAGCCTTTGCTGACTAGCTTCTGGTTCGGTTCAGCCAGTGACCGGGATTAGGGCAGGGTGGACAGAGAGCGGGTGAAGTTTCTTCTCTACCTCCTTCCTCCTTGGTGTCCAGTTGCTGGCAGTAGCCCCGCCCTCTGTAACCATAGCTCCCGCTGCCCAGCTCAGACTGGGCTCCCTGAACTCTGGGCCTCCCTGCCCCTCTCCCTACGGAGGCACGGGTTCCTGCTTTCCCCAGTCCCTGGGCGCCTCAGCATCCCTAGTTTCCCCTGACTCGCTGGGTGGGCCCTTCGTTACGGTCCCTCCATCGGAGCCACCCGAGGAGACCCAGGAGGCGCCCACCAGTCTCCCAGCTGCCATGCCACCCTTGGGTCCTGAGCACAGCCCCAGGAGACTTTTCTCAATCACGCCTGTAGCGCCAGGCGCTGCTGCACCGTCTCAGAGCTCCCGTCCTTGGCCCCCGACTTCTGTGTCTCCGGTCCTGGCACTTCTGTCTCCCTCCCCCATCACCATCAGAGACGGCTTGGAGCCCAAGGTTTGAACTACGTGATGGGGAAGAGGCTTCTGCCCTGCCCTTGACACACGCACAGTGTGACCAACGACGGTGGTGACTCCTTCCCTTTTTGGAGAGCACTGGGTGGCTTTCAAAGCGCTGCCCCACACCCACCCAGAGTTCTGTGACCTCGGAACCTGCTGCTGGGTTTTTGTCCCCGTGGTACAGACGAGGAAGGAGAGTGCAGGGGGCAGAGGACATGGGCCCAGGTCACAGACTGACTGGGTATGGAGCGGTGGCCCAGCCCAGAGGACAGAGGGCCAGGTGACCCAGGGTGGCCCAGCGAGTGGAGGGTGTGGGTGGGGGGAGGGAGAGCCGGGTGGGCGGGGGGAGCCCGGCTGTCACGAAGCGCCCCGGGCAGCGGGGGAGGACTGTGTATTTCCTTACCCAAAGACCGGCTTCCAAGCTGGGGGTGTGACGTCACCACATCTGCATTTTACAAACACCCCCCACCCCACGGGGCCGGGAGACAGGCTGAAGGAGACAGAAGTCACAGGGAGAATGCAGAAGAGCCTGCAGTTGGGTGGCGGGGCCTGAGGTGAATCCTCTCCCTGCCTCTGTAAAAATTTCCACGCGGAATATGTATTATGTATTAGAAAGAAAGTGCTTCTTTAAAGAAAGGCCCTAGAAAAGGGAACGCGAAAGCCATAGCAAGACCAGAGGCGGAAGCGTGAAGAGAGAACCACGCACGATGTCCATGCGGGAGATGAGGGGGGGAGGAGGGGCTCCCCGAGACGCCCCGGCGTGGGCGCACACCTGCGGGTGGGTGACACGTCCTGAGGGGAAAGCGGCTGGCAGGCTTGAGCTCAGAACAGAGCCCCGGGCAGGGACGGACGGCACCTGGTGCCCGAGGAGAGGTGCATGCGGAGAGGTGCATGCGGCGTGAGCAGAAAAGGGGCCAAAGAGGAGGAGCAGACATCAAAGAATGGGGGGTCAACACAGCCCCCGGGGTGTGTGCTGCGGGGGGAGGGGGGCATAGCATGCTGCTCCTGCTGCAGAGAGGGGGGGGGCACAGCCGGAGGCCGCTGGAGACCTAGCCGAGCCCAGGGGTGAGGCTGGAGGGGAGGCAGAGTGGGCTGCGGAGTGAAGGAGAGGGTGCGGCGGCCACGGAGGTGACGGTGGGCAGGAGAGAGGGCGATGCGCCAGGAGCCGTGCGCTGGGGAAGCTGGGAGTCGGGGCAGGAGACGGTGGGTCATAATGACATGGGGGCGGGGGGAGGGCCTGAGGAAGAGGATGCAGCAAATGCATTTTGGGGGAGGGTTTCAGGCAGTCTGGATTTGAATCCCGTTCCACGACTTGCCAGCTGTGTGATCTCACATAAAGCCTCAGTCTCCCCGTCTACCAAACGGGGACGGTAAGGACCTCTCTTGGACTGATGAGTGTGAAAGGACATAACGTGTGTCCGGCACAAGTGACTACACCACGAGCATCCGCTGCCATTCTGGACACAGAGGAGGGACCGGCCTGGACAGGACGAGTGGAACTCTTCCAGGGTGGTGGCGGGAAAAAGAGCTAGGGATGGGATTCGCAGATGTGCTGGGAGACCCGTGAGGAGGACAGGGGGCTGGTGGGAAGCTGGGGAGGAGAGGCTGGTCAGGGGGTGGGCGGGGCGGATCCTCCAGAGGACCAGCAGGAGGCGGGACCTGCACGCCCAGGGATGTCCCAGGCCGTGTGCTGGGAAGCTTTGGGATGCCCGCGTCCCAGTCCCCACTCTGATCCCCTTTGCTCTGCACCCTGGGGAGGGGAGTCCCTTTCCCCCTCCGAGCTGTCTCCTGGGCTGCAAAGGAGGCGGCTGGACTTGTTCTTTTCTAACTTCCTGCCTCTGAGCCGAGAGCCTTCTTCATGGAGCAGCATCTGGACATGCCACAGCCCTGACCCCACCCCAGCACTCAGAACGGGGGCCGGACATGCAGCAGCTGCTGAGAAATATTCACTGAACCAAATGCACTAAAGGTCGCGCAGGCTCTAAGCCCAGGGGCCACCCTGCACCTCTGACCCGGCCACACACTGACCCCAGGGCGGAAAGACCCAGGATGAGGTGGTCAACTTTGTACCCCAACCTGCCACTTAAATCTGAAAGGGGGTGAGGCACTCCCGCTGCTCCCGCCCCATCTGGGGGCCAAAGTCTCTCTCGTTTCTCGCCCTCCCCATGGACCGTCGGCGGGAACACACTGACACCCAACACGAGCCTGAGAAGCAGATGCAAGCTGGTTTCCCCCTCAGCGGCCAGACGGCCTGGGAGCTGAGAGAGGAGCTGACGCGAGACCAGAGCCCCAAAGAGCAGGCAGGACTGAGAGTGGAGAGAAGCCGGGAGAGGAGGGGAGGGCAGGAGGTGAAGAGGTATATAAGGCCCCTCCCACCGCAGGGCAGGCCAGGCCCTCGAAGGGACCGGTTATTGGGGCTGGTGGGAACGGGAGTCTACTGGTTCCGACCCCTGCAGAAGCAACTGGGGAAGAGCCTTGTAAAGGGGAGGGGCCTGGTCGAGGACGCACGCTCTAAACCAGACCCAGAGCCCTGGGCTTGGGGGGAGGAGAGGGGAGACTGCTCCAGGGGCCGGTGGGGCAGCCCTGGCAGGGAGGGTCTCTCAGGACAGTGGGTGGGAAGGTGGGCCCAATGGCAGGAGGGGGCCAGCACACAGTAGGAGCACGCAGCACTGCAGGGGTGGGGGCAGGGCTGCATGGGGCCACCTCCTGTTCCCCCCCCCCCGCCCCCCGCGTTCCCCAGGCGCCCACCTTACCTGCTGCTGGGCCTGGATCCTCATGTACTCGGCCCTCTGCTTGCCGTGCTTGCCTTTGTCAGGGCTGCCTGGCTGGCCCGGGGCCGCCTTCAGCCGAGAGGCCCCCGGAGTCACCACCTTCATGGGTGGCACACTGCCGCCGCCACTCTGCAGGAAGGGGAACAGGGTTACAGTTGGAGGGAAATCACACAGGAACCCTAGGCACTCGGGGTGCGGGGCGGGGGCGGGGGGGGGCGGCTCCCGGTCTGGGACCTCTTCAGTGGGCCCTGGAGGCCCGGTCCCAGCTCCACGTCCCCGGCCAGGACTCAGGCCCACTCTCTGAGGCCAGGTTTAAGGTGTCCCCGAAGAGAAGGTAACGGAGCCCCCAGCTAGATCCCTAACCACTCTGCTCCCAAGTGAGGGAGCTCTTGGGTGATTTCCTTAAACAGCCAGAGGCAGCTGGCGACCCCTAGGGGCAGCCGCTTCCAAAGTAAAGGTCCCTAGTACCACCCGCACTCCCAGCAAGAGACACAGTCCTGAGCCGGGGGGCGGGGGGGGGGGGGGGGGGATGTCCGAGACGGAGCGGGAGGGGTTCTTGACAACGGCAGACAGCAGGACTGGCAGCCCCAGGCCCACAGCTTCCTCCCGGTGGGAGGAGGTGGGTCAAGTCTCCCTGGAGACGGACAGGTCTGGCCCCCTCGAACCACCCCAGGCACCAGGCCTGCCCAGAAGGGCTCTGGGATCCAGAGGTGCAGGCAGAGAACAACAGAGACAGAGAGAGTCAGACAGGAGAGGGGAGGGGGCGTGGGGATAGGAAAGGGGGAGAGAACTTTATTTGTCAGTTTACAGATACAGAGCAGGGGAGAAGTCCTGGTCCCTGCCGGGGCTGGACGGGCTGACCCCTAGGGAGGCCGGCTTCCCAGCCTCCTCGGGCTCTGCCCGCAAAGCCCACCGGGCGCCAGGCTCCCAGGAGGGTGAGAGGAAGCGGGCGGGGGGAGGAGGGGTTGTCGGTGCTCCTGCAGGCCCCAACTCCCGCCTGCTCTGAAGACGGAGAGACTGCAGCATGAAGACAGGAGGGGAGGGCAGGGGAGGAGGCGGCCACCTTGGGAGTGGGGGGTGGGGGCGGGGGGCTGCCGGGGGGCCCCTCGGAGGGGGCCGTGCCCATCTGGCTCAGGGTGGCTTCCAGCTCCCGGAGCGACTCTTCCAGGCTGTCCATCCGCTGGGTGGTGGTGCCCCGCACTGTGCAGCCGGAGCCGACAGCAGGCTGGCCCTTACAGTTCCCCCTGCAAGGCTGGGCGTTGTGTCCAGAGTCCTTGGGGGTCTCCTCTGGGTGGGTCTCAGCAGTGGAAGGCTCCCGAGTCGTGTCTGGGGCTGGTCCCCGAGAACAGGGAACCCTGACCCCTCCCTCTTCTCGACTGCAGCCCTCTGTGCCCAGACTCTTCAGAGAGGTCCCTTCCTTTTCGGGCATCAAGTTGCTCCTGGGCCCAGAAGCCTCAGCCAAGACCCCTGGCGGGGCCTGTGGGCCATCCCAGTCCCTCCCACTGCCAACCAGGGTCCGGGGTCTCGGGGTGGGGGTTGTTCTGGGACTGGGCTCTTCAAGCCTGGCCTCTGGCGGGGACGGAGGGTTGGGGGCACACTCCGTCAAGACGATGCAGGGCACACAGAAGGCCCTGGGCTCTGGGGCAGCCTGCAGGGAAAAGAAAGATAAGGCAGAATGTGATCCCTACAAACCAAACCGCCTGAGCTGGGGTGGGGGTTAGACAGCAGGTGAGCCCAGCCCTTCCTTTCATAGATGGGGACACTGAGGCAAGGAAGGGGCCTGAGTTAACCCAGCGATAGAGGCCAGGCTGGGACCAGAGCTCACGCTTCTTTCCACCGCACCCCCTGGCCTCCCATTTCCTGGCACAGACACCAGTTTATCTAGAAGCGCAGACACGCTGACTTCTCGTTGCCCAGGCCACATTCTGGGAGCGGGTCTCGCAGGGACTCCCATGAGCTTGCGATGGGGCAATCATAGGAGGGGTGGGCGGAGAATCGAGTGAGCTCATGTGGGCACCTGCCCAGAACAGCGCCTGGCGCACTGTAAGTGCTCGGTGAGTATTGGCTATTCGCTGAATTGCACTGAACAGTGGGGGCCAGCAGCCCCGTGTGGGTACAGACCAGATGTCGGTCTCTGGCATTGGAGGGTGGGGCTCTCATCCTCATCACAGGCCAGAGGCTCCTGGTCCCTCCACCCCCAACCTTTGGAACTTCCTCCAAGGGTTTCACAGTCGCCACGAGGGGAGGAGTTCAGACAAAGCCCTCCACTGCAGGCAGGCTCGGGCAGAGCTAGGGCCCCTGCTTCTGTGTGAACGCCCTCGCTCTGGCTTTGGTGGGGGCGCAAAGAGATCCCCCAAACTGCGTGAACCCTGGCCTAATTCCGAGCACCAGTTCTGTAAAAGGCTCTGTCAGATCCGTCTTCACCTTCAGCCCTTACTGTGACCCACAGAATGGCCGCTGCTCTCGTCTCCACTTTCCCAGTGAGGAGATGGAGGGTGAGGAGTGTCATGTGATTCACTCAAGGTCATTGACCCACAGCGAGTTAGTGACAGAGGCAGGATTTGAACCCAGGTAGTCTGACTCCAAGTCCAGTCAGACTCTTTCCACTAAAAGGAGCCATAGGGCAATTTGTGGGGGTGTTAGCAGAGGCTCCCAGCCTCCCTCCCAGGGCAGCCCACCAGCCCCGCCGCCTGCTTACCTGGAGGTGGCGGTGCAGACTGGGAAGGTGGAGAGGGCGACCCACACCTGCCCAACTCCACTGCCCGATGGCGCCTCAGGATGCAGAGGGTGGGCCAGGCCCCAAAGGCCAGCGGAGGGGCTTTGCCCACCGGGCCCCTTCAGGATCGGCGCCCAGAGCCAGAAAGGGACAGGGGCTGGGTGCCAAAGGCACAGCCCGCTGGGGGCAGCCCTTCCGCACTGCGCATCCCAGACGGCCCCTCAGACCGCTCTGTGCCCCTCCTCTGCCCAGCAGACAGCACTGTCCACCCATCTGGTGCCTGTCTGCTCCCCCTGGCCAGGAAGACAGAGCAACGCCAGGCCTCAAGCCAGAACAGAAATCACGTGGTGGCCCGCACGGAGCCCACCGTGGGCAGAGGAGAAGCAGACGGGTCAGGTGAGCCCGCGTGTGCATTGGCAGCTACCCCCAGAGAGCAGGGGCCTCCTGTCCTGAGGTGACTGAGCCGTGGGAAAGGCTCCCAGACCACCCCCCGCCCACCCCCCCCCCTCACCCAAGGCCGTCTTCCCCAAGCACGGCCTCCTGGGGGTGCAGACCGCGGCACCACCCCCAAGTTCCCAAGGAAGAGTGAGGAGGAAACCAATGCAGCAGGACAGCAGCAAGGACGGAAGTTAGAGAGAAGGGAGGACTTCCCAGTGCCGAGAGATACGGAACGAGCAGCCAAGGAAGGGTGTGAGTTTCTTCCATTCTGAGCTCCCTGACCAAGGAAGGGGGCACGATGGGGCCATGGGTCAGAGGGAGGCTGTCGATGAGCGCCCCCCGCGCCGTGAGTCCTGGCCCCCAGTGCCAGGCCTAGATTCTAGTGGGAGAAACGGAGCCCCTGACTGGCACAGGCAGCAGAGCAGGGGGACGGCAGGGACGAGGCAGGGACTCAGGACAAAGATTCTGAGTTGGACCTAGAGTCCTCCAGTGAGCCAGGCCCAGACCCCTCCGTGGACCCAGGCGAAACCCAGATCGCAGGCCAGGCCTAGACTAGGGCCACAGATTGGGACAGAATGCCCAGGTCACCAGGAGCTGGCTCGGGATCAAGCCTGTAAGAAAAAGCAGGTCCAGCCCTGGCTGGCGTAGCTCAGTGGATTGAGCGCGGGCTGCGAACAAAGGCATCGCAGGTTTGATTCCCAGTCAGGGCACATGCCTGGGTTGCAGGCCACGGCCCCCAGCAACCACACATTGATGTTTCTCTCTCTCCTTCTCCCTCCCTTCCCTCTCTAAAAATGAATAAATAAAATCTTTAAAAAGTATATATATATATATAAAATGTTTAAAAATTAAAAAAAAAGAAAAGAAAAAGCAGGCCCAAGGGATCGCTGGATACCACACTGCTGAAGTCTCAGGAACAGAAGGCAGGGGTGCGTGCCTGTCCTTGAGCGGGGGTGGGGGTGGGGGGGTGATTCCCCATGGGTGAGGCTGTGGCAGTGGCGGGGACCCAGGGGTGTAACTGGCATTTTAGCAAGGTAGCGTGACAGGTGGAGACAGGAAGCTGTGGAGGCACAGGCAGAAAGAGCGCGTGAGAGGTGGGGGGCAGCCCGTTACCTTCCATGTGGGACCTGGGGCTGAGCCCCCAGGGGGCCCGGGGTCCTGGGGGGACAGCAAGGTGGGGATCGGCTGGCGGCGGGGTGGAGGGGGGAGGGAAGGCACTGAGCTTCTCTCAAACACCTGGGGAGCAGAAGGTGGGGGAAGGTTTGGAGGAGGGGTACAGGGAGGACCATGGGGGTGCTGGCCTACGGCGCAGGCACCCACAGGCAGGGGTGGCCCGGGCTGGCACTGGGATCCCGGCTTGGCTTTGGCCCCTCGCAGTGGCCACTGGCCACCCTGCCCTCCGCTTTGTCTCTCCTTCAGAAGCCCTGGAAGCCCAGTGTCTGCAGCCATTGCGGGGGGCGGGGGGAGGGGCTGAGAACACCGGAGTATGAGGGCCTTGGGGACAAGGGCGTCAAATGCTCAAAGAGCGCTTGAGGACGGTGGTCTCAGAGCATGGCGGGGTCTCAAGGCAGTTGGGGGTGGGTCTCAAAGACTACAATCAAAGACCTCAAACCTGCCAGGAGAGACTTCAGGACCCCTCCCCCGTTTCACAGTGGAGAAAAAGTTGAGAAGGGTGGGGCTCTGAATAGCGGGAAGCCCAAGAGGCCAACCAGGTGTCCCAGTCCAGCCACCTCGCCCCGGGGCCCCGCTTGGCAGGGAAAGGGAGGCGGGTCTGGCTGATGACTCGGGGGCCAGCCGCACCCCCGACCCACCTCCAGCTCTGCGATGATGCGGTCCTCATCGTCCTCGTCCTTGATGGCAGAGGCCATGATGGGTGGTGTGGAGGCCGGGCGGGCCACCTCGGACACCGTCCGGCGCAGCTTCACTTGGGGTTTCTGCACCTCCAGCTCCTCAGACTCGGCCTTCTGCAAGGCCCAGGCCCCCGTCAGGACCAGACTCTGCCCCGCCTTCAACCCAGCTCGCCTCCTGGGCTCCCTGGGTTCCAGACCGCCTCACAGCTGCCCTAGCTCCTCATCCTTCCAGAATGGCCCCTTCCCACGGCGGGGGCCCAAGTCAGACGAGAACCACCATTGGTCAGCCCCCTTCTCTCCTTCTGCTTCCTCTGAGAGAGAGGACCGCCCAGAGGATCCGCAGAGGTCACTTCAGGCATCCCCCTAACTCAACTTCCCCACCCCCTGCCCAGGGTGGGGGCGGTACCTTGATGAAAGCCGAGTCCTTCTTGCTGGTGACCACAACCTCTCCAGTGCGGGTGGTGGTCAGGCCGTGGGAAGAGGGGAAGCTCCGGCGGGGAGGGGGTGGTGGGGGCGACTTAGAGGGCTTCTCCGTGCGGTATCGGGGCACCGTCAGCTCATCTGCAGGCAGCCAAGGAGCTGGAGGTCAGGGGACCTGTAACCCTGGAGTCTGGGAGCCACATCTGACTCCAAGGGGGTAAACCTTGCTTCCTCTTCCAGGGAGGAGGGGAGGGGAAGGCTCAGGGAGAAGGACACAGGCTCCCTCCTCCTTCTCTCTGACCTCCCCCTGCAGTCGAGCCCCAAACCCCGCCACTCCGCCCCTTACAGCACTCTCTCACCCTCCCACTCAAAGTGTGGGCCGTGGGCCAGCAGCACTGGCAGCTCCTGGGAGCTTGTTAGGAATGCAGAAGCTCAGGCCCCACCCAGAGCTGCTGGACCAGAAGCCAAATTTTGACCGATCCCCCAGGTGACTTCGGGGGCAGATTCAAGTTTGAGAAAGGTCGCTGTCATTCATCTCTTTTCTACCTGCCCCTTTTCTACCTGCCCCTGCCCTCGTGTGGATCTGCATCCTTTTCCCATCAAGAGAGAAGGTAACTATTGCAAGAGCACGACCCTGCCCACCAAGTGCTCCCTTCCCCCAGTTCTCCTGGCAGCTGGGGCTGTTCCCAGGGCAACCTGCAGAACAGCCACTCAAACCCGACGTTCCTCTGCCTTTCATCCTCGGTGGCTCTCTGTTACCCAGAATACATCCAAGCTCCCTGGCCCGGCACCCTGTGTGCCTGCCAGTCTTTCGGCCTCGGCTCTGCTTGCCACTCCCTTGCCTGGGCTCGGCTGGGCATCACCGCACACCTACCTCCAGGCACCTGCGCATGCTGTTTCCTCTCCCAGGGAAGCACCTACTCGTTTTCAAGACTCCCGTGGAGAGTGCCCTCCTATGGGAAGCCCTTCCTGCCCTCCCAGGGCCTCCTCTGGGATTGCTGGACAGCAAAGTGCACCCCCACGCGGCATTTAGCACCTCATCCTACCTCTGGTTTACACACTAGCTACGGCCTGGGACGGGTCACATGACCACACCGAGCTCAGTGCCGCCCTCTGAGAGACGGGAAGGACTGCTGAGACTGCCTCCTGGGGCGGTCATGGAGTTGCAAGAATTAATATATAGAAAGCATTTGGGGCAGTTCTTGTCACATAAGTGCTTGATAAACACATAAGTTAGTATTACCCCCTCATTAAATTTTAAGCTCCTTAAAAGCAAGCAGTGTCTTATCCCTTATTCCCAGCACCCAGTGCACAGTAGGTGCTTAGCAATATGTGTGGCAGGAATGAATGAAGGAAGGAAGGTTGCCATTTCTGGTTCGGATTCCTGCCTGACCTGTGAGCTCACAGGCAGGGGGTTTGGGGCACGTTCTGGGTCCGAGATGCGGAAGGATGGCTCTCTGCCTGGACCTGCCCCTCTTCCCTGCGAGGGTGTCCCAGCTGCAGTCAGGGCGGCGGGAAGAGGCCTTGACGGAGTCCACCTCTAACCCAGCTTCTGGGTCTCCCCGAGGTGGCTGAGGGTCAGGCTGCTGAGGTCCCGGCACCTCCCTTCTCCAGCAGCCTGACCTCGCACCTGTTCCCCACCCATCAGCCTGAAAGCTCCTGTAGCTGGGGCACCTCCCCTCCCCTGGGCTCCTCACCCACCCCTACCTTCCCCCCTACCTGAGCCCCTCCTTCCACTGGGCTCCGCTCGGGGGGCTGCCTTCTGGCCGTGGGGGACTTTCGGGGGCTTGTGGTCAGGGGTGGGGGCCAGGCCTGGGTGGGCCTTGCTCGCACAGTCCAGGTCCGGGATGGCCTTCAGCAGCTCCGCCTGTGTCTCCTCCAGTAGCCGATTGATGTCCTTCGCGCTATACTGGGTCAGCGCTGCCCGCTTCTCCTCCCAGTCCCTCTCGGCAGCCTTGGGAGGAGGGGGCGAGAGGCAGGACTGCAGTGGCTACCCTACTCCTGGACCTCTGGGGCCTCAGCCCCTTCCCCCAGCCACACAGGCAAGGAGGGGTAGAGGAAGCCCCACATTTGGTCCAGCTCCCTGAGGACCCTGGGACTTCTTAAATATTACATGCTTTCTCCATGAGTCTGGAATACCGCCTTTTTATACACGGCTCTCTTGGTACAGTTAGACCTGTTTGGGGACATTTTCTTTTCTTTCATTGACCACACAGTCTATTCTTATGCAAACACCACATTGCCCCAAGCATTATAACTTTATAATATGCTTTTCTGTCTAGCAGGACAAATGTCACCCTTAATATGTTTCTGAGACTTTCTCTCCCCTCAGGGAAAAGTTCCCATGATGCATCAGCTGACCCCCCCACCCTGGGCCCAGTACCTCAACACACACAGCTTTATCTACGCTTCTCTTGCCCGGCGCGTCCAGGCCTTTGGTGGGGTTGCCCCCCTTGGGGGTGGAAGGGGCTCCCTCGGGCGGCCCGCTCAGCTCATGGAGGTTTAGCGGAGGGCTGGGGGGCGGCAGTTCAAAGTCCAAGCTTTTGTTGAAGTCGGTCTCGGCTGTCACCTTCTTGGGGGACTGATTCAGGAGGTTGTTGGGGGGTGGCCACACCCCCTCGTCCACTTGCCTGGGGTTGGAAGAGTTAGGAGCAGCTGTGAGGCCAGCGGGGTGGTGGCCCCGAGAAAGGGAAGCCTGGCCTGAGGGAGGCGGGGTGGAAGGAGGGCTCTGGGACCTTGCGGGACAGAAGCAAGGGCCTGGGCAGGAGTAACGGCCCCCAGCATCAGGGACAGCCAAGCCTACAGCAAGTCAGAGTTGAGGTGTAACTCCAGTTGTCACGCCAGTGACCTTTAGGGGAGTGAGGAGAAGGGGTCAGGCTGATCTGTCAATCTGGGCCCAGCACGTGACCCCAGGGAAAACCAGAGGTCAGGGAAAGAATGACCTTCGGATCTGGGCCAGCATGTCCGTGACCCCACGACAGCGCTTGAGCAGCCCGTCCAGGCGCTGCGGCTCCTCCTTCAGGAACTTCACAGCCTCCACCTCCACGCGCAGCACCACCCGCATCTTGCTCTGCAGGCCTGGGAAGTGAGCTGAGGGGACCACAAGCAGCGAGCTGAGCGGGGAGCAGCCCAGAGGCCTGGGAGAATGGGCGGCAGAGAGGGCAGCGCCTGGGGTGGTGGCGGGGGCACAGCAGGGACTCCCACCTGGGTCACGAGCCTCGTGCACTGGCCCCCAGGCTCACCCTTGAGCTCCGTCAGCGTCTCCCCGAGCTGTTTCAGCACCAGTGCCTTCTCCTCCAGCTCGGGCCCAGGCACCAGCCGGTGGTTGTGGGAGACATCCCTCTGGATCTTCTCCACCGACTTCTCCAGGTCACTGCAGCCACAGAGAGACCCTCTCAGCCCCTCTGGCCCCAGCCCAGCCCCCTGAGATTGGGCAGCTGGAAAGAAATCAGGCCACCATCAGATCAAAATTAAAAGCCACCCATCAGGCCACATGCCCAAGTGAAATCAGAAACGCCAAACCTCAGAGAGGAGACTTCAGAAGAGTTCCCTAACGGGGGGGCCCCGGATCCCCTTCTGAAGCTCTGATCTTTAACCACGTCAGCTCAAATCTCTGTCCCTGTAACTTGCACCTTCTGGTTCCCGTTCTGCCAAAGGAGCAGCAGAGAACTTGGCAGCCTTTCAGGGAGCGGGAGGCGGCAGCACGTGCCCCGGAGGGCTCTCTTTTCTTGCAGGGCGACACCGCCGTGTCCACCTACCTTTTCTCAAATGGTCCAGACACTCGGCCTCTTTCTTTGAGGACAAAAGTGCTTTTGATTTTCAACTGTCTTATGATGTGCCTGTGTCGTTTTTAGAGCCCACATCTTTCTAAAATGTAAATCAGACCAAGTCACCCCGCACTACGTTGAACCCTATATGGAACCCATTGTTCTGAGGGCCGAATCCAAACCCTTCCAGGCAATCTCGAAGGGCAACAGGGTGAGAGCTGAAAATCTGACTCAGGGTCAGACAGATCCAAATTCCAGCCCCAGCTCAGCCCGTGCCTGCAGAGACACCTCGGGCAAGTGACCTACTCTCGCCAGGCCTCAACCTCCTCACCCAAAATAGGGAGATGGTGAGAGTTCCTCCCTCCTGGGGCCACTGTGAATATTAAATAAGCTCATGCAAATGGGAAAGGGTCAGCCAGAGGTAAGGCCCCCAGGGCTGCTCTTATTTTCCCTCCGGCCACCTCTCCTGTCCTCGTTTGTCTGGCTTCCATTTAGAACCGTCCAGAATTTCTCTGAGGGCTGTATGTGTACTGCCCTCTCTGGGCCTCTTTAATGCCATTTCCTCTGCCTGGAATACTCCGTTCAACACACACACATGCACATACATGCACACACATGCTCATATGTGTGTGCTCGTTAGCCCACTCGTCCTAAGGTCTCCACGGGAACCTGCCCCTGCTCCCTACACTTGGGGCTGGGGCCTGCTTCCCGCCCGCCAGCCCCTGGGGCCCCTCCCATTTGCAGGACTGCGCAGCCCCAGGCCCGCAGGCGGGAGCCAGGCCTTCCGGAGTCATCTCGGATGCACAGCACCTGGCAGCGTGCCTGGCGCAGAATAGCTGTCTGGTAAATAATTGTGGAATGAATGATGGAGAGAAAGACAGATCTCGATGAGCCCTCCAAAAAGGAAAACAGGAAACAGAAAGGAAGAAAGCAAGAACTGCTGCCCGGGGAGGTCATCTCAGCTCCGTCCTCGAGTCCCTGACGTCCCTGACCCACACGCATGCGCATGCACTCCCGTCAGGTCCCGTCTGCTGGGTGTCGGCCCAGCCCTCCAGGCGGGAGCAAGTTCTGAAGCTCAGTTCCACCATCCAACAGATTGGCTCCCCCTCAAAGCTCTGTGTCATCAGCAAATCCCATCCGCATGCCTTCTACATCTTCATCCAACCAGCGGGTAGAGAGACCCGACCCGAGCCACGGAGACCACCCTGTGCCTCCGCCCGGTCAGTGCCAGAGCTCCCACGTCCTGTACGTATTGCACGCCCGGTGCCACAGTCAGCCCTTCCCTTTCATGACTTTATTTCAGCGATTTTCAACTTTTTCATCTCACGGCACACATGAACGCATTACCAAAATTCTGCGGCACACCAAAAAATATATTTTTTGCTGGTCTAACAAAAAAAATAGATCTAATTTTGATTCATTCGCATCAGATGGCTATCGTTGTGTTGGATGTTGACATTTTCTATTTGACAATCTAAGGGGAAAAGGTTCAGTTTATTGCGTGTTTTAAAAATTCTTGTGGCTCATCAACGTGCCCCTTGTGGTGCACCAGCTAAAGTCGCTGCCCTGGTTAATCCTCACAACCAGTTCTGTGAGAGGGAGCCATTAGTACCTCCAGTCCACACCCAGACAGACAGCAGTGCAGACATCAGACTGCACGGCCCAGCCTCCCCAGCGGTTCCAAGTGGCCATTCGAGTGAAGTTTGGCCAGTGAAATATAAATGAAAGGGGTAACCTGTCTGGCGTAGCTCAGTGGATTGAGTGCGGGCTGCGAACCAAAGCATCGCAGGTTCGATTCCCAGTCAGAGCACATGCTTGGGTTGCAGGCCACGGCCCCCAGCAACTGTACATGTATATCTCTCTCCCTCTCTCTTTCTCTCTCTTTTTCCCTCCCTTCCCTCTCTAAAAATAAAATAAATAAAATATATATAAAAAAGAAAGGGGTACATGCTGTTTCCAGGCCTGGCCCATGCAAACCTTCCACATAAGCTCTTCCATGCTCTTCTCCCCTTCCGATTGGTTGAAAGGCAATGACCCCGTGGGCGATCTGGCACATACTGAAAATGGCCAAACCTCCATTAGCCCAGGTCCCTGAATGACTACATGGAGGAGGGCCATTCTGAAAACCCACCCAATGCTGTTCCAGGAGAAAGAAAGGTATGTCTATTATTTTTGAACCATTATACAACTTATTATAGCAGCAACCCTAAGTAACTTATTAGCCACCTTAATTAATACAACTGGCTTTGGCATTAAAAAAAAAGCCCTGACTGGTGTGGCTCAGTGGATTGATCACCAGCCTGGAAACTAAAGGGTCTCTGGTTCGATTCCCAATAAGGGCACATGCCTGGGGTGCAGGCCAGGTGCCAGTGGGTGGGGCGTGAGAGGCAGCCACACACTGATGTTTCTCTCCCTTTCTTTCTCCCTCCCTTCCCCTCTCTAAAAATAAATAAATAAAGTCTTGAAAAAGAAAAAAGAAAAAAGAGGCTTGTCCTGGCCAGATAGTTTTTGTCAGAGAGTCATCCCAATAGGCCAAGGTTGTAGGTTTGATCCCCGGTCAGGGAACACACAAGAAGCAAGACATGAATGCATAAATAAGTGGAACAACAAATTGCTGTTTCTCTTTCTTAGCTCAATCAATCAATCAATAAAATTTACAAAGAGACTTTACAAAAAGCGGCTCCTCAATATTCACTTGGGAAAGAATAACTCCGCTTTGCTTTGTGTGGCACCTGATTGGCTTAGGCGCACCAAGTTGGTAAAACAGTCCCACGCGCCGCTGTGAGCAGGAAGAGACCCTGGCGTAAAGGAGGATGAGGGAAAGCCTTTAGAAGAAGGCAACACTGCAACTCTTTGGCAGAAGGAACTACCCCCCCACACACAACCTTAGGCTCAATTACCCCCTTGATTTTGGGGCCCTGACTTGGGCAGGCTCTGCATGTGAGTCCCTGACCAGTCCACGTCTAGAAACTGGGGTCAGAAAGTGGTCAGGCTTTGCAGACCCAGGTTTATTCCTGGAGGTGCCAAGAGGGGAAGGAGGGACAGACCTGCTGTGTAATCTGCAGGGCCCCGTGCAAAATGAACCCTAGTCAGAACATTAAGAATTCCGAAACAGTGATAGCATAGCACTAAACCGGGCCTGCCCCGTGTTACTGCGCTGGTCACGTGCATACAAAGCCAGCCCTGGTTAGGACAAGTTAGACTCCAGAGGCCAAAAGGTCTCAGTCAGCAGAGGCTGCCCCCAAGGGCAATGTCTACACAGCGATCAAGTGCCTGGCTGTAAGTACAGGTGAGTGAACCAAGCCGAATGAAGCAGAGCATTGGTCTTAACTTCATGCAAGATGCCAGCGCAAGAAGGTGCAGGGCAAATGAGCCAGAGTAAGACAGGGCCTGCTGGGCCACCTGATGCCCGGGAGGCGATGGGAGCTGGGCAGGGAGGGCCCTCGTGGCCAAGCTGGAACCACCGCAGGGCTGGTGTGTAGCCCAGTCCAGGCCCCCGCTCAAGAAGGCAGGAGCCCCCTTCAAAGTGGGTGGAAGATCCTTTCAAAAGCAATCTATTGTCCCCTAAGCTCTCAACTGAGCGCTCTGAGTAACACAGCAGGGGGAGTGAGTCTGCGTGTTCCTAGGGAACCAAGGGCCCGGAAAGCTGAGGACCAGACACTCTCATGACAAAAGCATAAATCCGTCCTTTCATTTCTCCTGCCTCGGTGTTTTTATACTTCCTTTTATTTTCCTTTAATGTCTCAATAAAGTCCCCTTTGAAAATTCCAGCCCAGCTCCTATATGCTAAGTGAAAAGGGGCAAGGAGAGGACAGAAAAATCAGGTAATAGAATTCCCTGGGTGGGGGGGATGGCAGCTGCCAGTCTACTTGGAGATCTCACGGGAGTTGTCACTATGTGTTCACACCTGGATCGATGGAGTAGCTGCAGCCAGCTTTCCTCTAACTGGAATGACCCCTTATTTCATCTCAGCTACGAGGGGTCATGGGGATCTTGGCACATGCACCAGCAGGCCGTGCAGCCCCAAGGCTGAGGAGCAGGGGCACTTCTCAAGGAACCCCTTGCAAGAGGTGCAATCAAATGTGACTTGGTGAGGAAGCTGGGCTCCTCTGAGCAGCCTCTCCTGGCTCCCCGAGTCACTGGCCAGTGGAACCCCAGCCCTCTCTGGGAGGAACTGCAAAAATCTCAATACTGGGCACAGGTGAGGAAGTCACAGCACAGAGGACAGAAGCTGCCCTGATCACACAGCCTCTCAGTGCTGGGACTGGACCTCAGGTCCCCTTAGGCCCTGTGTCACAGAGAGGGAGGGTGGAGAAAGCAGCAGGGCCTCTGTCTCTGACGAGGGAAGGCTCCAGTTGGGGTGGGGGTGGGGGGTGTTCACACAGTGGACCAACAGTGAGAAGCAGCTTTTCCCTCAAAGGCAGCTTCTTCCTTCAGCGGTGCCAGACAATCGAATCTTGGCCAGACAGCTATTTGCTAAATTTGGTTCAAAGGACTATCTTCTGTTAACCCTTCCATGTCTAAGCATCTGGGCGTGAGTCAGCACCACGCTGACCAAGCTGGCAGCACCTGGATTCTCCTCCTGAATACTCTACCGGAGGATTGTTTTACACAGGTCACAGGCCAGAATGAAAACAGACAGAGAGAGGGCAGAGTGAAATCAGGCAGCTGGCCACATGAAAGTAAGGCTGCAGGCCACGGAGTCTCCAGACTGTGGGCCATTAGGAAGAAAGACCATAACAAACGCAGGCATCAAGCCAGAAAAAAAAAAAAGAAGTCAGGAATTGTGCCAGAGGGTCAAAGGTTTGTGGGTCACGGAGAAATCAGGCCACGCAGGAGAAGGAAATCAGGCTTCAGAACAGACCAACGTCGCCTGTGATTCAGAAGGTCGGGAGGAGCTGTTCCTCCCAGTGAAACCAGGCTGTGCGCCACTCTGGCCGCACCCCCAGCCCCAGCCCCAGCCCCAGCCCCAGCCCCAGCCCCAGCCCCAGCCCCAGCCCCAGCCCTCCCTCCGCTGCGGGGCCCAGCCTCACTTGAGCTGCTGGGTAATGAGCTCCTCGTCGTTGAGGTAGCGCAGCCGCTCCTCCTCCACCAGGGTGCGCTGTCGCTGCAGCGGGTCCTCGTGCCGCCGTGCTGCCTCTGACACGCGCATGCTCAGCTCCGCCTCCGTGCCCTTCAGGAGCGCGCGCAGCGACTCCAGGTTTTGTAGCTGCCGAATGCAGATGGACCGATGGACCGGGGTGGGAGGGGATGGAGGCACGCATCAGGGAAAGGGCCGGGAAGAGGCAGGCAGAGGACAGCCCCATGCTGGGCGTGCTCCACAGCAGATGCGGCTGCTCGGCTGTGGCCGTGAGCAGCAGCGAAAGGGTGGGATGGTGGGGGGGCAGAAGCCAAGAGCTAAGTTCTGGGGAACAGAGGCAGGAGGAGAACGGCACGGGGACAGGGCAGGAAGAGTGCTGAGCTGGCCCATGCAGAAGGTGCGGCTGCATGACTGTGAAGTGAGCAGCAGCGAAGGGGTGGGATGGTGGGGGGGCGGAGGACAAGGTTACTATGCTGGGGAAATAGAGAGGCAAGGAGAACGGGATGTTTGGGGGACAACGAGTGGCCCTGTGTAGGGTCCTGCAGGCTTCGATGGACTCAAGCTCTGGGGTTTGATCGAGTTTCCGTGGCTGGGACGAGAAGACCAACTTAATCCTCGAACGCAATTCTAAGGCCAAGTTGGGGCAATGGTGGGTGTGGGTGAGATCTTATCCGTTGCCCAGATGGCAACTCTCTGCCCCCCTCCAGCCTGTCTCTGCTCATTAGTCTCACCTGACGGGCTCTAGGGCCCTCTGGAGGAGCGGGCACAGTGATGCCAGCATTCTCACTGGGGGGACCATCTGCCAGGCGGGGCAGGGCGGGGGAGCTGACGGGATCTGGGGAAAGGGCTTCCGCCAAGGGAGGGGAAAGGGATGCAGGGCTGGAAGGAACTGGGATTTCCCTGAGTACTGACGGGAGGAGGCGGCTCAATGAGCTGAACCAGGTTTCCAGGAGAGCGGTGAAGACTCAGGGAAAGGGAAGGAGGGCTCAGTGACAGGGACCCCAGCGAAGGGTTCGGTCTTGGTGAAGGGGACACAGAAAGTCAGCGAGGGGGGCAGGAGCTTGAGAGAGGGAAAGGGGAGAAAGCATTCGGACAGGGGCCCAGTGGAGGGCTCCGGGCTCGGTTGAGCGAGTAGGGGATGGGGCGGGACTTGTGGGAATAAGTTTCGGTACAAGTGGGTGGGTCCTGAGGGGGCGGGGCAGGGGCGACGTCCTGGAGGGAGCGGTACCTGGAGCTTCCGCAATTGCTGAAGCTGGCCGCGCAGGTCACTGGTGCTGTTCTGGAGGCCACGCAAGTGCAGCTGCATCTGCAGACGGCTGATGGCACTGGGCTGTCCCGCAGGGGTGCTGCTGGCTGAGGGTGGGGGAGGGCCGGACACTGGGGTGGCCCCGCTGCTCCGGCCACCTGACCCGCAGGCTGCAGAGGAACCACAAGGATGGGAGAAGAACAAATCAGGAACCTTGGAAGGGTTGGGGCAAGGTCCTTCACATACAGTAGTGACAGAGGCATGTGACTCTGACTCCCTGCCCCAGACGGTAGTCAGCCCTTCTGTGGGGGGCCGGGGCAAAGCCATCTTGGGCTGAGGTGACTACTCATTCATCCTTTCAAGCCCAGCGATATAGCTGTTGTTTAATCCCCACTTCACAGACTGGGAAATCTGAGGCTTGGAGAGTTTGAGGACCTGTGGAGGAGGGGGGAAAGGTCACTCACGTGCAGAGGGCGTGGCTGCTCCGTTGGAGCCTTCGATCTTCTCGCTGTGACACAGGGAAAAGATAGCTCTCAGAGGGTCCCTGAGTCTCCAGCCCCCTGATCTCAGGACGGAGACCCAGAGGAGGGAGGGCGCCCGCACCCAGAGTCACACTGGCAGAGCTGAGCCCAGGGCTCCCGCGGCCCACTTTCCCCTCCTCTTGCCCCAGCCACAGGCCCTGACTGGTGCTGGGGGAAGTGCTCACCTGGGGGTCTCGGGCTCCGAACCTCGTAGCAGGGCACTCTGCACCAGGCCTGTGAGGCTGGCAATCTGCTTCTCCATGGCCTCCATGCGCTCCCTGGGGAGGACGGTGGCTTTGAGCAAACCCTTTTCTAGGCATTGGATCCTCCTGCCCAGCCCCCCATTACACAGACAGGTCAAAGGGCTCCAATACCTAAGGATCAAGTCCACAGCTGACCACCCCCCCCCCCATATAATACTCATAAGCCCGTGTCCATCCGACAGGCACCCCCTCCCTCTGCAGCCTCACCCCTCACCACTGGCTCCCTACTGGGCCCCGGCCCTGTGTCTCAGCGCTGCCGCACGTTTTCCCCTTGCCTGGTCTGCCCTCCTCCCTGCCTCTTCTCTGAAGCCACCCCAGCGCCCCCAGCAGCCTTGAGGGACCCTTGTACACCCTCCCAGAGGAAGCACAGGGATTTTTTTAACATGTCTCCCCCACTAAACAGGGCAGCACCGGGTTTGCACAACTTGGTGTTGACAGTGCCCAGTGCACTGCCAGGCACACAGCCCACAGAAGACCTGTGTGAATGTCAACCACTTCTTACCTCTCAGCAGCACTGCCCAAGGGCGGGGGGTGGGGGGAGGCAGGTCAGTGCCCTGGTCACCTCTTCCAGCCCTGCATCCTTAGGAAGGAGCTGAATGGTGGGCAAGAGCTCCCCAAAGCGGAGGCTACCTAAGTGAATGCGCCTCTCTCTCTCCCCAGCCCTATTTGTTACCAGCACCCCCGCCCCGTGGACTTCAGCAGGCCCTGTGCTGGACAGCTCTCGGCTGCAAGTTCTGTCCGGGCGAGAAAGGCACTAAAGAGGTTCAGCCCGGGTCTCGGGGACGGAAACAGGTTCGGGGAACTGGTGTAAACCCAGGTTTCCAGAATCCTTGTCTGGGGCCCTTTTGTCACCCCTAAGGTCTCGCAAACAGAAGGAAAATACCATGTCCATCTTTCCATTGCCTTGCCTGCCTCATTCAAGATACCCCGGTGACCCCACTAGGCTACTTCGGGTCCACAAAGGACACAACAACCCTGCCACAAACTCTGTGGTGCCCCCTCTCCAACACACCCCGCCCCGCGCCCTGAGGTCTCGTGATCGCCCCTCACCTGGTCTCTGTGTCCTTCGCTGGCACAGGCGGCCCGAACCCAACGAGCGGACGCTCCCCAGGCCCGGGGAAGAGCTCAGAAGGGGGGACTCCGGCCGTGGAGGAGCCCCCGGTACTGCGGGTTTTGCCTCCGGGGCTCTCTGCGAAGACGGAGGAGCCCGAGTCCTTTCGGAAGGATTGGCGCACCGGTGAGCCGCGGCTGGGCGGCCCGGAGTAGGGACTGTGAGGCGGCGGGGGGCCTCCGGGTGGCGCTGCCACGTCGGCCAGCTTCTGCGGCGAGGAAGGCGGCAGGCGGAAGCCATAGCCGTCCCCGTAGAGAGGGCCGCCGCCCGCCGCCTTGTACAGGGAGTCCTCCAGGTCGGACTGCAGCGCGGCGGCCGAGTAGGTGCTGAGCGAGCGCACCGAGCCGCGCTTGTAGAGGCCGCCGGCACCCGGGTAGGCGAACGGGTCGCCGGCGGCCGCGGCCAGGCTCAGGCGGCCCTCGTGGAGCAGCCCGTAGGGGTCGGCGTAGAGGCCCTCGCCCTTCACCAGCACCATGCCGCCCGCCTTGTTCGCCAGGTCCTCGTCCGGCTTCACGTCGCGCCGCTCCAGGATGGCGCTGGGGCTGGGGCTGACGCCCTGCGCGGCGGGGGCGCCTCCCAGCCGCTCGGCCGCGTGGTGCACCGGGCTGCCGGCGTAGGAGGGCGGGCGCCCCCCGGCGTAGGAGAGGCGCGAGCGCGACGGGGAGCCTGACGGCAGCCCCGACGGCAGCCCGGACGGCAGCCCGGACGGCAGCCCCGGCGGCGGCGAGCTGGACGCCAGGTGCGGTGCGGGCGACAGGTTGTTGAGGCGCCGGGTGGGCGACGACTCCCTGGACGCGTACACCATCTCTCTCTGTGCAGAAGACAGGTCCGGGTCCCCACAGGGCTGGTCACAAAGACGTCCCCCTTGCTTGAGGAGCCAGCATCCTCCCCGTGACACTTAGAACCTCCCTTCCGTTCTCTGCCTCCCCTCGCCCCGGCTGCATCACGGGCCGCTCTCCCAGCAGGGCTCTCAGAAGGCGGGAAGAGGCGGCAGATGAAGAAGCCCAGAGGGGCAACCCACAGCCCACCCTACGACGACGAGGGGGTGGGGAAGCCCAAGGGGAAAGGGTGGTTCCTGAAAGAGTCGTCTAGACTATCTAGAGGTGTGCTGGAGAAATCCATGACCCCACCTCTAACGGAGGCCCCTCTGCTTCAGCCTCTAAGTTTTCTTCTCCCAAGTTGGGCCTGGCCCCTGCCGACAAGTTACTATGCCCCCAGACCTTATCTGCCCAGCCTCCCCAATCCCTGGGCACCCCCAGCCATACCCGGAGGTCCCCGTTGGTGAGGTGCGAGCCAGGGAAAGCAGCGTAAAGCGGCTCCTTCCTATAGATCTTGATAATGCTGCGGTCCTGGATGTCCCTGGAGGGCGGGGGGAGGGGCGGAGGGTCACCATCTCCCCGCCCCGTGTCGAGGAGCGGGCAGCTCCTCCAGGTGGAGGGAAGAGGGATGGCAAGAGGGGGCAAGGAGCCCCAACCCCTGCCTAACTCCTTGCTCAGTGGATCTCGGGCCTCAAGCTACCTGCCACCAACACGCACTCCCAGCAGCCTCCACCATGTCCACTCCCTCGGCCCCACGGCCAGTGTCGGGTCAGCTCGAGACTACCGGGGCCAGCAGGGGAGGACGACTTAGAGGGAAGGGGGTGGGGCTGCGATGACCGAGGAAGGGGGCGGGGCGGTAGGGCTCCGGGAGGAAAGAGGAAGGAAGGGCCAGGGCTTGGGTCCGGAGGGCGCTGGGGAATGGCCGGCATAATCTAGCCCCCCGCAGAGGAGGAGTACACGAGAGCCCACCCCTTCCACCCCCCTCGGGGCCACGCCCACCGGACGTCCTCCAGCTCGTAGAAGACGTTGCGAGCCTCGTCTTTGATGAGGATGGCGGTGTTCGGCGACTTCAGCATGCCCATGGTGAGCTTCTGCGGGAACATGTGCGCGATGAGGGCGTGCAGCGTGTCCAGGCTGCTGACCTCGTGCGTGATGTGCACCCGCCGAGTCTCCTCCCCGAACTGCAGGAACAGCACCCCTGCGAAGGAGACGCGGTCATTGCCGCCGCCACTGCCGCCACTGCCGCCACCGCCACCACCGCGACGGCGCTGCCGCCGCTGGCCAGGAGAGCAAGAGGGGGCTTCCGCAGCCGCGCCGGTCCCGCAGAGGCAGGGTCTGAGCCCCGACGCTGCTCCCGAGTGCAGATGCACCCAGGAACTCCTCATGCCGCTGACCTCTGAAGCCACCGCCCTGACCCCAGGCAGGCTGGAGCCCGAGTGAGGAAATGGATTTGGGGGCGGGAGCAGGTGGGACAGAAACTCAGGGGGGAGTCCTCGATGACGGGGAGAGGGGTGGAAGAGGTGACGGGGAGCTGAGCGGGAGAGGGAAGGAGGAGGCCTGAGGAGGAGGAGGAAGAGGCTGGGGGCGGGGAGGAGACTGCTGGGGGGTGGGAGATGGGGAGGGGAGGCAGAGGCTTCCAGGAAGATGGCTGTAGAAGATGGAATGGTGACGCGGATGGAGAGTGTTGCAGGGCGAGCAGGGCAGGGGGAGGAGCCAGTGGCCAGAAGGAGGGCGGACGGGCCGCCGTACCTGGGGAGCGCAGCTTGGTCTGGCTGGCTGAGCGGGAGAGGGGTAGGCTCTGTCGGAAGCGGTTCATCCTGCTGAAGCCCAGAGGCAGCTCGGCCTCCGACATGGTCTCCAGCGACTCAGCTGAGGCGTAGGACAGCTTGGCCGCCTGGTCTGCCAGCCCGGGCTGGGTTCCCTGAGTGTGGCGCGAGCTGCGGGTCTGCAGAGGCAAGGCGGATGGAAGCAATGGAGCCGAGCCCTTCGCTCTGCCCGCTCTGCCGGCCTCGCCATCCGGGCCCTGGGAACTCCCGCTAGCCAGCAACAGACACACGCGCAGGAGGGCCTCCCGGATTCCTGACTTGGCTGTGTGGCTGCAGGAGAGTTCCCAACCTCTTGAGGCCCTGGCCTCCCTGGGACACCCAGCAGGTAAGGAGTGGGCAAAGGACTCAGGCACCCTGGGAAGCCAGACAAGAAACCATCTGAGCGGGAGCCACGGGCACACCTGCTATTTTAAGCTTCCAAAGAACAACAACATAAATTTGTCACTGAGGTGAGCAGCAGAATCGTTGAGCAAATTGGGGCATTAGTTCCAGACATTAATTAAGCGACAGATTGGTGAGCGGCGAATTTATCCTTCACGGAGTTCAGAGGATCGGGTTGGGGGCAGGAGGCAAGACCCAGGGAAAACGCCAAGAGAGCTAGGGACCCCAGGATCCCAGCTCTGGCAGTGTAGGGTGTGGGTCCTCACAGAGCTGGGCACGATGCCCTTGACTTAGGGTTAACTGGGAAAACCATCCCAACCCCCTCAGAGCCAGCTGGACCCCAGTTTCACACAGATGGCCTGCCTATTACATGCAATGCACATGCTAAGCCTGGTGTGAGCCACACGTACACATGACATTAACTGCTAGGCCTTAGCGACTCCCTGCAAAGCACATGCCGCCACACAGCCACCGAGCTAGCCTCCCAAAACACCGCCCTGGCACCCGCCATGGCAGCCCCTTGTGCCAAAACTACAGCTGAGGGCCAGGGAAGGGTGTCACCCAGTGACCGTTCCCGACCCTGGGGACAGTTTGGTTACTCTCTCCATGGGGAAGGAGTCACCAGGGTTTCCACTGCACTTTAAGAGCCTAATTTTGGCTGAAGGCTAGGGGCGCAGCTCAACCACAGCTCCTGCCATTCTGCCCCGGCCCCTCCCCGCAACCCTGGTTGTCGTCAGAGACTCATTTATTTAAGAGAGAAAGACTATGAATCAGATCTACATCATGCTGTGTTATGTACATTATGTACATATATAGATTGCATATGCATATGAGAATTACATACGTGTATTATCAGGAAAAATCATGTTGCCCAATTCTATTTCTCTGTAAAGTTAATTGCCCGTTTTAAACAGCAAATCACTCAAAACCATTAACATTGGTTGTCTCAGGGTCGAGACGGCTTCTCTTTTTCACGAGTGTGCGTGCTAACCTTCTCTGTATCATTCCAATTTTAGTATATGTGCTGCCGGAGCGAGCACTCTCTTTTTACCTTGTACATTTTCTGCTGGGCAAATGTTGCACAATCAGAATGTCACTTTTATAATTGTTTAAAAAAACAGTAAAAATACCTCTAAAAAGGAAACATTTATTCTCTTCCCGGCTCTCTCCTTCCCCAAATCCTGATTAACCCCTAATCAATCTCCATCTTCATATTAACTCAATTAAATGTTCCAACTGGATTAGCACTCTCGAAAAGAGAGAGCATCTTCCTCTGATGGGCAATGTGCCCAGCTGTCCCCAAAGTGACCTCAAGGGCTCAGGGATGTGGAAGGACAGACTTGGGGACCTCAGGGGGTGTCCAGCCTCAAGTACAATGCCCTGGCCATGGGTGGACATGGGTCTTGGGAGGAGGGAGGTGGTGTAGGAACTAGGGGGTGAGGGGAACGAGAGGATGCCTGCTCCCAGACTTTGGGCCGCACAGCTCAGGTCTGGGTCCACCACCAGTGCCAAACTGTGACCTTCTCTCTCACCTCAGCCCTGAGGCAATGTGGGAAACCGGGTCTGGTCTGGTGGTGATGGGGTTGCCAAGCAACTGGAAGGTCAGTGGCTGCCCGGCTGATGTGGACGAGGGGCTACAGAATTAAGGCAGAATGAGCGGCTCGCAGGGATGAAGAGCAGGAGGCGGCCGCAGTGCCTGGGGGGCACGGGTGGGCTTCCAGTAAGAAGATGGAACCGTGGCCAGAAGGAAGGGCCCCGGGCGGGCGTCCCAGGGACTGCTGACTCCCGCAAAGGCAGGACCCTGCCCAGGGGCGTCTGGGGGGAGAGATGCCCACAGTCCCGGCCCCGTGGCCCTGTCTCCATCCTGGCCACCTTTCTAGTCCCACAGCCTTCGTGGGAAACCCTCTTGAGAAGAGAGAAAGCCTGTTTTCAATTCTCTCCATCCCTGGGATGAGACGACAGGGCAGACCAGAGGAAAGCGTAACATGTAGGAGGACTTCCCGATTAGGAGGGAGCTGGCGGGAAAACAAACAGTGATTCAGGCAGAGCCTCCCGCAGGTAGGAAGGGGCGGCCGGGGGCGGCAGCGAGCACCTGTCACTGGAGGCGTTCCAGGGAGCCGATGACTCCTGGTCTAGATCGCACAGAGGGAACCTTGAGTGGGGCCGCAGCCTGGGCTCGGAGGTTCCCAAACACTCCACGGACCGGGGCAGAATCATGTGGGGGCTTTCAAAGATATTTTCCAGGGCCCCACAGTCCCTGAATCAGAATCTCTGGGGTGTGGGGCATGGGGTTCAAGATTCTGACCAGTCCCCAAAACGATTCTGATGTGGGAATCAAGTCAGCCTCTGTGATTCGAAAGGCGGATGATGGGGGCCGCCATGGGGGGACTCCCTGAGAGCCGGACGCAGGGCCTGGGACACGCAGCATCTCATTTCTTCCCTCTCTGCAGCAGCTCTACGGTGCAGATACTGCTATGCCATGCTACAGAGCAGAAACCGGGCCCCGGGGCTTACGTAACTCACTCAGGTCACCCAGCTAGTTAGTAGCAGGCTGGAATTCGCCGCCAGGTGGTGTGGCTCTCGAATTAAACCACTCCACGCTACTGCCTCCCCCGGAAAGTCTATGCCTGATGCCGTGGTTCTCTGATTCGAGGACGTCTGCTCTCTGGGAGTGTGCATGCAAACAAGACGCTTGCTGCAAGATGACACTGGGGAGTCTGGGACGGATACCTCCCAGCCCCCGTCATGATGCTTGGGACCTGAGGGGGCAGCACACAAGCGGCAGTCTAACCTGGTTCAGCTCTGGGCCCGGGTGCTAAGGAAGGTGGCGGAGGTGTTTCCCCGGGGGGTCTGTAGGATGCCCTTGAGGGGCACACAGCTCCTTGGCGATAGATGGTTCAGACTCCGCAGAGGAGGCAGGAAGGCCCCCATCCCTGAGCTTAGCTTAGCCCTCCACCCAGGCAACAGGTTTAGGGGTGCAGAGCTGTGAGTCTCTTGCCTGGCATTGACCAGCTCCCCATAGTGGGAAGTCACAACAGGATGAGGGACCCATCACAGTACCAAGGCCTCCCTGGAAGATGAAGCTCTAGGATCTGAGTTCAGAGAACACGGCCCTCAACAAGCTCAGGGGATCCAGGCCCCTGCCTCAGAGCCAGCAGTCGGGGCCTGGGAAAGCCTGAGTATCCCCAACTCGGATCCCCAGCAGGGGTGGCCGGAACTCCCATGCTGGGTCCACAGGCCCCTGGCAGGCAAACCCAGACTCTCTCAAAGCAGCAGCCACAGCCTGCAGCCCCAAGGCCCTCTGCCCGCACCAGAGGGTCCCGTGCGGCCGCACACCCCTGTGCAAAGCGTGTGCAGGGAGAGGTCGGGCAGGAGAGCACATGCAGTTGTCACGGAAGCAGAAGCAGCGCACACTGACCTTGAAACTCCAGTAGTTTGGCTGCTGATGGAAACAAGAGAAGAGATGGTTATGAGGGGCTGGGTGAGGAGTGAAGGGGCAGGGGTGGGTTAGAGACCTTTGGGGCTCAGCACTAGGCCCTGGGACAAGGACCCTCAGGGGCCCCCCACCCTCTGAGGAGTAGGAAGGAAGCTCTGCCTGGTATAGCCCGTGGTCTGCTGAGACCCGGGATGGCCCTGAGCAGGCTCCGGGGGTGGGGGTGGGGAGATCCACTCCAGGTATTTACAAGCCACACAATCCAGTCACAGTAACTGTCCTCAGAAAGGTACGGGTGGGGAAAGGCGCCAATGACGGTGGTACGGGGAACCCAGGAGACAGTGGCAGAAATGACTCAGAGCTGCGGGGTCAGAGAAATGGCATCTGGTTGTGGCAGGCCAGGAGAAACTTCCCAGAAGGGGTGGCATTTAAGCTAGATCTTGAGAAATGAGCGGCTCGGAGCGGGTAAAGGCCAGCCGAGTGGAGGGGAAAGCGTGGGCAGGTGCCCTGGGGCAGACAAGCGGAGTGAGTACAGCGGGAATAGTCAATGGTCCCATTTGGCTGGGGTACAGGGCCTGGGAAGTAGGAGATTAGGCTGCAAAAGGGGGGCTGGGGCCTGAGGACTGGGCTTCCGTGCCGAGCAAACTTCTGTAGACTTAGCAGGTCGGATGAGCAGAAAGTACGTGAGTGAAGCACAGAGGGGCTAGAGCTGGACCCCGGGAGGGTTGACGGGGCAGGCAGTGGAAGAGGGAGGCCTGAGACCAAGGCCAGGGCAGGAAGGCCCGTTAGCATGACAAACCCGGGTCACAGAGAAAGGTGGACAGCTGTCAGCCACCTCACAGCCCTGGGCAATGGGTGGGAGCCTCGGGCAGCGGAGGGGCTTGGGGAGAGTGAGAGCATGGGCCACACCCTGCGGCCAGAGAGAGGAGAGGGCGGGGCTCTTTGCACACCTAGCACGGGGGGGGGGCTGGGGGGGAGGGCGGGGGTTCAGGGCCCTCCTCATCCACAGCCTCCCCTGGAGGCCAGAAAGCCCTTTTGGATTGCTGAGGACAGGAAGGAGTGGCCCCGGGGGCCTGACTGGCTCTTGGCAAAGCCGAGGGCACCCTGCTGACCGGTGCCAGCCTCGGCGGGAGGACAAGAGGCAGCAGATGGCCCGGCCCTGGGGTGCCTGGCACCAGCAAACAAGATTCCCCGAGCCTCAGAGCCACTGGCAGAGGAGAGGGACACTGAGGGTCCCCACTGGGAGGAGAACCCAACATTGGGCTGTCTTGGGCCACCTGAATGCTTTAGTGACAAAGAGGAGTTGGACAGGGGCTGGAATGGAGGCCTTTTAGGGTGGGGGTGACGCCAGGCCAAGGTGGGGGTAAATTGGTTCACTCTCCAGGGACACTCCTGTCTACCCAGTCTAAGCTACCATCCCCAACTCTCCCTCTGGCACTGGACCTCAGAGATGCAAAAAATAGTATTGTAACATTGCAGGCAGGGAAAGGGGACAGCAAAGTCTGTGCCCCAGCCAGTGCCTGGAACAGTCCATGGACATGTGCCACCCCCACGGGTGCCAGGGGTGCCCACAAATGCCAAGGGGAGGGGAGGCCCAAGGCTGAAGTAACAGGCTCTTGCCACAGCTGCCTTGAGAAGGGGAGGGGCGACAGAGCGAGTGGACACGTGGGGGCCAGGCAGAGCCAGGCAGAGGGCACTGGCAGGTTTATGATGAGAGTCATGTCTGCAGTGCCCGTGGTGACGGACAGCTCTGCAGAGAAGGCGGCTGTCTGTCATTTACCGCCACCATCACCCTGTGTATGCTCAGGCCACCCACAGCCCCTGCACCACGACATCCTTGACGGGGACATCACCACAGGCATACCCAAAGTGACAAAACACACCCACAAAAGGACACAAGCGCTTCGAGAGAAGCCCTCCACGGCTGGAAACCACCCCAGAAACAAACACACTCGGAGATGGAAATATTCGGAGGTGGACCACCCCCACTCCTGCACAGACACGCAGCCCCCACAGGGCCCTGACTCCTTCACACACACCCCGCCGCAGGCGCCACTCCAGGCAGAGACGCAGAGGCACCGGCCCTAGTCACACCCCGAGAATGTCCCCCAGAGAGTCCCAGAAACCCAGAGGGCCAAGGAGACCCACTCACACGTACGAGCACAGATACACACTAGATGCAGAAACACCCACCGCAGTAGACAAGCGTGCAAAGAGAAGGTCTCGTCCCTCCTTTGCTGCACTAGCTAGGGCACGTGCCTCTGGCCACCTCAGCCAAAATCCCCTGCCCATGATGTCCCAGACACCACGTGTCAGGTAGATGCACCCCTGATTCAAAAGTGGCAGAAGATGCCCCACCCCCATCCAGCCCCCCGAAGCCCACACATCCCATCAGTACGTGCAGATGGCTGGGGCCCACCTGCTTCTGGAAGGGGTTCAGGGATGGGGCCTGTCCACAGCCGTACTGGCTATGCCCTCATGGGCCTGCCTCGGGGTCCCAAGACTGGCACATCTATGGGGCAGTCAGACCTGCAAGGGAGGGGTTCCAAGCAGGGACCAGGGCAAAGGACTGGGGGGCACTAGTGCCACAGGAAAGGCCAGCCAAGTCCCACTAGATGGGAGGGTCGCTTCGTTTGTGCTTGGCCAACTTGGAGTGAGGCTGCAATCGTAGCCCTGGGCCTTCGGGTGCTGGCCTGGATAGCGCCCTCCGTGAATCCCGCCCACCCTCCTCTTTGGCAAGTGGGAAGAATGACCCTATGTTATGTTGGACCCGCCAGGAATGAGACCGTCTCCTGGCAACTCAGTGTCCTTCGAGGAGCAAGCCTGGGAGAGGCCCATGGGGATGCCATCCACCCGCTGTCTCTGCCTATTTCCAGGGTGTTAAACCCATGGGACAGCTGTGGGCGACAGAGCAGAGGGCTCCTCTCTCGTTCACCAAGGTGGGGCTCTCCCCGTCCAACCTCCAGCACCCTCCACCTCCTCGCCCCTTTCCCGGTTGTCTGCTCCTCCCGCCAGGCCCCCCACAGCGCCTGGTGCCCGGCAGGCCCTCCACAAATATTTGACCAGGAATGAATGCCAAGAAAATGGGAGGAGGGGGACATCTCTGAACACCCTCGGCCAGCACTGCTCTCTCCATCTCTTGGCACCCAGCTCTGCTCAGCCTTCTGGGCCCTTTCCCTAAGAATTTCCCAGCAACCCCCACCCCCGCTCCCCTTCCCCTGCCCTGCCCATCAAGGAGGGCAGAGGTGAGGAAGGGCCCAGGAGGGGTCTGGCTCTCCAGCTCAAGCCAAAACCTCCAGTCCCTGGGCAAAGCTGTCTTGGTCGCTCTAGTCAAGAAGGGGTCTCCCTTTCCCAGCAGACACTGAGAAAGCAAAATAAAGGGTAACCACTGTAGGGAAGAATCTTACAGGGGCGAGGGAAAATGTCAGAAGTTCAGAGAGGGTGAGATGGAAGCCCTCCGTCCACTCTCCAGGGAAAAGGCTTTCAGAAATGGGGGAGGGGCGGCTACTCCGAGTCCGAAGGAAGAGAGGCCAGAGGGTCCTCAAACTCCCTGGAGAGAAGAGGGAACAGCCTCTGCCCTGGGCGGGGGGGCTGGGGAGTTTACTCCCTTCCTCCCCCACTCTAGGGGCCTTTAGTGGGGTTCTTCCTCACCCCCTGCAGCTGGTCCCTCTCAAGGCTGTTCCCTGAGAGGGTGAGGTTCTGCCCCCTGGGAACCTGACCCCAGCTAGACAGCTGAGGTCCCGACCCTTCCTGGGCAGACGCCCCCTTAGGCTAGGCAGGTGCGTGACCCTTCTTGGCCTCGAGCCGCTACAACGCATCCTCCGGGGAGGTCGCACCTCTGCCCCTTCATACCGCGGCTCCTCGTTGACCAGCACACACACCCACCTCTCAACTCCTGTGAACACGCGTCCACGTAAACACCCGCCCTCCTAGGCTGGAGCTACGTAACGCATCCCGAGGCCGCCACCTCCCACCGCGAGGCACATGCGCGACTCCCCCAGGTGTGCTTCCCGGCGCTCTCAGCCCCTACCCCTTCCCAGCGCAGTGTGTGTGTGTGTTGGGGGAGGGGAGCTGCGGGACCTGAGCGGCGCGGGGGGCGAGAACGCACCCCGGAAGGTCATGACTTTCCGAGGTTGGAGGAGGGGTCACCCACCGCATTTCGGGGTGGGGGTCCAGCCCACGCGGGAGACGGCGAACGCCGTGTGGGAGTGAAGGGGGCGTTTCTCAGGGATCTGGAGCCACAAAGGCCTGCGCACCCCCACCCCTCGGAGCCGCTGAGCAGCCCTCCCATCTCCCTGCCCCGGCTCCCCGCAGAGCCTGAGCCCGCGACCCGGACCCCCGCAGCCGCTCCGCTCCCCCTTACCTGCGGCCACAGGTGTATCCCCCGAGCCCCAGGTCCCGCGTCAGGCAGGGGAGGGGGAGTGGCCCCAACTCCCACCCGCCCGGGCTCTCCCCTCCCCCGGCCACCTCCGCAGCCGCCGCCGCCGCTGCCGGTGCCCTTTGCTGCAATGCGAGAGCCGCCGCCGAGCGGGCCCGGGCCCCGGTCGCCTCGGTAACCACGACTCCACCTGGCGCGGCGCAGCGCGGCGCGCCGCCGTGCACATCCTCTCTCCGGCCCCCTCCCCCGGCGCGGCCCCGCGGGCGCAGCCCCGCCGAGGAGCGGCAGAGGCTACTGGCTGCGTCGCCGCGGTCACCCGATACGCCGGCCCTAAGCCCAGGACTCGGGTTGCAGAAGGAGGGAGGGAGGTTAGACAGCCTAGTGGAAGCGGGGGAGGGGCTGCGGTTTGGAATCTAGCCTCTGCTCCCTTCCCGGGGTCCTCTCCATGCCCCCTTCTCCAAAGATCAGGCGCAGGGTGGGGGAAGGAGAGTGTCTTGTCCCCCAACCCGCCACTGCGAGAGCTCACAGCCTCTACCCACCAGTCCTCTCTGCACCGTCCCCCTACTGGTTCCACCATGACTCAACTCCCAGCCCAGTGTGGGAGGCCTAGCACGCCTGTTTCCTGGACGGCTTCCGACCCTGCTCTGCTGTGTGACTTTGGTACTTGCTGAACATCTCTGGTCCTGCACTTTGCAAAGAGGAGCCTCCCGCTCAGCCACGGGCAGTGGGAAGTGTTTGGTAAGCACTGAGTATGGAGTGATGACCCAGTGCTGCGCACAGCCACTTCTCTCAACAATTCCAGGGTTTCCAGGCGAGGGTCCCTTCAAACTCTCCTCCTTCCTCCATCAGAGCAGATGTGGGCAGGCCTCGAACCCCTCGTCAAGGCCAGCCTCACTCCTCTTCATCACCCCAGCCTTATCCAACCCCAAGACACTCCATCCAGAGAGGCCTCTGCGTGCCCCAGGCACAGTGCGCCTGTCCCCTGCCTCCTCACCAGCCCCGTTCCTGCCCCGTTTTGGCCTTCTTGTGCACTTGGCCACTCGGGACAAGGCTGTCCCACTTGCCACCCAGTCTTGGGGGCAGACACATCTCGTTCCCGGAAGTTCAGCCAGGATGGATGGGGCAGAAAGCTGGGAAAGGAAGGGGGCGGGGCGCCCTGTGAGTGATGCTGCGCCACGCCCATCTGTTGCCAGACTTGAGTTCACTCAGCTGAAGCGCTGGTGCTCTGGAGACGGGTCCTTCCCTGGGCTGACACTTTTTTTTCCCTACGTCTTAAAAAAGGTCAAGCCTTGCTGCCTCTCCCCAGGAGAAGCCAGGTGTGTGAGGAAGTGGAGCAGGCACCCACACTAACTAGCCCCTGGCTGCCTGGACCCTGCACCTCCTCAGCCTGCTGTAGCTGACCACCAAGTCGAGGCCCCCTCGGGGCTGCCCTTCCTCCAAGTAACGCTGACTCCCTGACCCCGCCTCCCCGTTGGGGCCTCGAGTGTCTCTTGTTCTCCCACGGCAGTGTCCTGGCCTGAGCTGGGAGCCCAAGCCCCGTCCAGGTGTGCCCCTGTCTGAGATAAGCTCCAGCTTCCCATCAGGGACAATGAAGCTGGACGGGGAAGCAGGAAACAACTTGAGAACAAACAGCCAGATGCCAACGTCTTCTTAAAAGTTTGAAACTAAGCCCTGAGCATGGCAAGAAGGATGGGAGAGAGACATCATGAAGAACTTCCTAGTGGTAGGACATCGGGGGAGGCTGGGTCTGCTCGGAAATGGAAGGGTGGGGTGGGGAGGGGGTGGGGAGATGGTCTGCAGCGGGGTGGGGATTAAGTTCAGGGCATAAGAGACTCCTGAAAACCAGTGGGGTGAGGGTGGGGGAGGGGCTCCTGTTTAAAGGAGAAAAGAACACACACCAAAAAAAAAAATATTTAAAAAAAAAAACCTGAGTATTCCCCCTCAAAAAATTTCTTCCCCAAAGCCAAACCTGGCTACAGCTTTGGGGAGGGAGTGGTAGGAGTTAGGCAACCAGGGGGATGAAAATGAGATGCAAAATAAAAGTCCTGGATATCCCCCCTCCAAAAAATAATCCTCCCCAAAGCCAAACTCCGACAAGGGTTTGGGGTTGGGGTGGAGGCGGGTGACTCACCTGGGCCGGCTGGCCAGCCCCGGAGGGGGCGGAGTCGCCGTGGAGGTGGGAGCAGAGGGAGCTGAGAAGGCACACGGGGTCCACGGTCCAGCCGCCGACCTGTGTGTGCGAAGCGGGGGACACCCCATTAGGGGGAGCGGGCGGGAGCCGCTGGGGAGGGGGGGCTGTGATGGGCAGGGAGGGGGGCTCCTTCACACCTCCGAGGGACTGGGGACACTGGCTAGCCCCTTGGGGGGGCTGGGCCTCTAACTGGAGCCCTTGGTCTGTTTCTGCACAGTTTTCTCTCCTGCCAGCCTCGGGGCTGGCTGAGCCCAGGGGAAAGGCTTCCCCACCAGATACGCCTAGGTCCTTTCCTCCATTTCTCAACCCCCTGTCTGTACACTCCACCAGGAGCTGCTCCCCCCTTCTCTCCTCCTCCAATTCTTCGTTGCCCCCTCACTGAAGACATCCCTTCCTGCTTCACAGTGGTGAGAACCATCCGAGGGGTCCTCGCCCCGGGGTGCCCCTTCCCCCCACCCTGCACCGTCCTTCCCTGCCATCTCAGAAGACACAACTCTCCCACCGCAAGGCGACCCTACTCCGAAGGCTCCAAGCCCATGGCCTTCCGACTCCTCCAGGGCTTTTCCCCATGGCCCCCCCTACCCCCCCCCGCCCCCCGCACCTTCACGGGCACTCATCCCCACTCGTCCCATAAACATTTACTGAGCCACACTGCACTTAGGCACGCAGCATTCCGTGGCAAGCGAGCCCGCCGTGGGTCCTGCCCACTTACACTCGACGGGAGGGAACCAGTGAGCCGATGAGTAAACAGATGAATTTGATAGTGAGTGGCTGTGTTTTGATTCATTTATTGAGTATTTACTGATGCCTACTCCATGCGGAAGAACGTGCCAGACACGGAGGAAGCCCTCAGACACGCCCTCGTTGTCTCTCCTGGCCCTGCTGCCCCTGCGGCCGCCGCCTTGGCCGACTTGGTCTTTTTCTGGCCGAACCTCCCCAGGCAGGTCTGCAGCCAAGGGTCCCGTTCCCTCCCCGCCTCCAGTCTCCTCCGAAACTGGCCATTACCTCGCCACACCCCGAGACACGGGCCCTCGACCCCACGGACCCACGGATCCTGGCCAGTCCCAATGCCTTTCCTCTCCCGTCCCTCCTGACCCTTGCACAGCAGGTCCCACTTCCACTCTGATTTGATGGCGCTCAACCCCTCTCCGAAGCTGTGGCCCCTCTAGAGCCCAAACCGTACAAATGGTGTGCAACCGACATCCTGTGAATGCCCTTGCCCTCCTCACACTCCTCCCGCATGCTCCTGTCTCCCACCCAGCTCTCTCCTTTCTCCCCAAGGCACCCACTCTCTCGTCACCCAGGTTTTTCTGTCTTCGCCTCTTAGTGCTGGGCAGCCAACAAGTCTTGTTCCGTCTTCCCTCCAAGGGCCCAGGCCTTCCCCCTCAGTCCTCCTGGACGCACACCCTTCCTGCTCCTCCTCCTGCCTCTAGCCCCTCTTTCGTCCCCTCCTCCTCAGCGTGGAGAACCAGCTCGGCCCTTCTAGCCACCACACCTGGCCCCGCTTTCTAGTCTGCCCCCACACCTCCCGCTCACCCCAGCCTTCTGCGCCAGCCCCCAACGAACCATGCCCCAGCCTGTGCTCCCCTCCCCTTCCCAACACCTTCTACAACAACACTCTCTCTCTCAATGCCTCAGCAGTCCTTTTCCACCCTTCTAAGCCTAGTTTAGGTACCTCCTCCTCCAGGAAGCTTTTCCCGACCAGGCCTGCCCATCTGCTCTCCCCTCCTCCAAACCCTCTCCCGACTGGCTGGCTCCTCATATTGGCGTTTAACCATCTTTCACCCCATCCAGACCACAGCTGCCCCTGCTGCCTCCTCCCAAGCCGGAGCACACAGAGGGAACCCACGGGGGGGCAGTTCCCCGAGAGTGGGGGCCATATCTCCTTCAGCTCCCCCTTATCCCTCCAGACATAAGGTAAAATCCAGACATAACAGGGCGTGACATCAGGGGGCAGATGAGGTACCAGAAACGAGTCAATGCGTCCTCATCCCCTGCGGTGAGGACTGGGTAGGAACTCTCTTCCCCTTCCCCAGCCACACCCCGCAGTACCTGGGGAGGGGGGACAGAGCAAGACAGGCAAGGGAGCAGGGGCCAACACCCCGAGACTCGATGGAAAGGATGCTGATGGGATGTCCCACCCTGCTCTTGGTCCCTTCTTCCAGGGTAGATGACACCTGAGTCTCAGCAGCCATCAGGGTACCCCTCCCCAGTGAGGGACTGTAAGCAGAAGGCTAGATCCTGGAAGGAACTTTCCTACAGACAAGAAGTCATCCTTGGATGGACAGATGCATCCAGGAACCCAAGGGTCCAGGAGAGGTTGACAAGGGAAGCGTCCCCCCCCCCCATAAAGCAGGAGACAAGACAGGCCCTGGACCGGAGGCAGGGGCCCCAACTCCCCTTTAAGCCTTGCTGATGGCAGGAGAGAAACCAAGGCACAAGCGAGGTGGGTTCTAGTTACACAGAGAGTTTTGGGGGAAGGATGGGAGAGGAGGAGGTGAAAGGTCCCAAGAGTCCAGGGCTCTGTCCTTGCAGAAGCTGGGGACACACCACGTCCGGTCTGCTGAGGCTCTCACAGGGGCCCCTCACGGAGGGACAAGCCCCAAGGTCTCAACGCCACCTCTGGATGGACCCCCAGAGTCAGAACAGCCAGTCCTCAAGATGCCCCTCTTCCTCCAAGGCAGCCTTCCTGCCCCTCCGCCCAGTTCAAGAGCTTGAATTAGAGGCTGGGCTCTTTCTGCCCAATCCCGAGCTCCAAATTCCAGGACTGCAGGCGGAGGTCTGGAGGCTGAGACCCCATCCCCTCCCTCCCCAGGCTCCAGAAAAAGCTAACCAAGGCAACTGCCCAACTCTCCAGTCCTCCCCTCTCTGCCCCAGACGCTTCTCAGAATCCTCAGAATTCTCGGAGTCCGAATGAGCCTGGGGGCCAGGGAGCGTGGGCCAGACCCCTCCCCTGCCAGCAGGCCCGCCCGTCGCCTCCACCCCAGCCCCAGCCTGCAGCCGGCCCCCACTCACCTGCTCCCGCATCCTGTCCTGCTGACCGCGAAGGGCCAGGGCGTGCTGCGGGTACTTGCTCTTCAGGTGGTCCATGAAGGCATCGCGCTTGCGGTCGGCGTCCGCCTTCTGGAGCCCGCTGAGCGCCTCCAGGCTCTGGGCCGCGATCACCGTGTGCCGGCGCTCCGACGTGTGCACCAGCCCCACGTTAGAGAAGCGCCGGCCCCCGCCGCCCCCCGCCGCCCCCCCGCCCCCCCCCCAGGGTCCGGTACTCTCGCGGGTACTCCGCATCGTCTGCAGACAGCATGGGGGGGCTGCTCCGCTCCGGATCTGCGAGAGGGGAGAGGGGACACGGCGGGGTCACTGTGCGCCCGGCCTGGGGCGGCCCAACCCCGTCGGGGTCACTGGGGGAGGGGCGGGCCGGGCCTGGGTATAGCGGAGAGGCGCCGGGGTGAGGCAGGCGAGGCCCGCCCCCCTCTAGCGGACATAAGGAGCAGAAGCAGGGCTGGGGTGGATAGTGAGCCCGGAGCGGCGGAGCGCGGAGAGCAGGGGCAGGGTCCAGCTCCTTGCGCTTCTGCGGGTGGGTTGGCAGGGATGACTGCAGGTGAGGTGCTGTCCTTTGAGGGCGAAGAGGGTTTGGAAGCCGGGGTCCTGGACACCTATCTAGACATGCATCCCCTTCCTCCTTCCTGATGCTGGTTTGACTAGGTGAGGGGAGGTGGGTTTCCGTTTTAAATGCTTCCTAAAAGCTGTACCAAGGAGCCTAAACCGTCTTCCTTTCCTGAGCATCTTGTCAGGAGGGGCCGGGGCCCCAGCCTCCTCTGGGACTGGCGTGTTCAGGACTCTCTGGTCCTGAGGGCTGGGGATTGGCTTAGAAAGGGCGGGGACTAGGATGCGTGGGGGGCGGGGTACAAGTCGAAGGTCACAGTCAGGGCTTCCCAAGGAGATGGAGGCCCAGGGGCCGGGGCGTGGGACCCTTTCTCCCCTCCCTTCCCAGAGACAGACAGATGGACGGACAAGAAAGGCTGGGCACAGAGAGAACAGTGAGAGGTGGACTTGGGACGAACTCAAAGGAGGAAAAAAGCAGACAGAACAGATCAAGCCTTCCTTCTGGGACCCTTCCGTCCTTTCTGGGCGTCTCCCCTCCCAACACACACACACGAGTTCGAGATCTATGAGGGACGCACAGGGGACAAAGGACAGTACAGAAGCGAAGAAAGAGAAGGCCGGGGGTTGAGGTCCCCATGCAGAACTCTGCACGCCCCCCCCCTTCCCCACAGACCTGCTCGCCGGCCCTGAGCTCCTGTGCTCCCTAGACCCCCCAGTCTCAGCGCTGACCTCCCCACCGCCCAGCAGGCGACAGTGGCTCTAGGGTGTTCCAGGGGGCGGCAGGAGTTGCTGAGGCTAACCTCAGCCATGCTCCTAAGCATCGAACAGATTGCCCTCCCCCATCCCCGGAAGTCACCCCCACGGGGAGACAAACGCAGGCTTCCCCCACCCCACCCCCAGACAGTCCACCGTCCTCAAACAGCACCCCCCACAGGTAGCGTAGGTCTGGGGGTGTCGGGCGCTGCGGTAGACCCCTGCACTCCCCCACACAGGGGCTGACCCGAAGGGCCAACTGGGGCAGAAGAGGAGGAGGCTGAGGTTCTGCGGCCCAGCCAGGCTCCATGCAGCCCAGCCGCTCGTCAGCCCCCTCTGCACACACCCACGGCTGCCAGGCCACGGCCACCTCCTGCCTGTCTGAGCGGGGAAGTGGAAACGTAGCCACTTTGCAGGAAAAGCCACCCCTCGACCAACACACACACACACACACACACACACACACACACACACCCGGCTGCAGCTGAGGCCTGTAGATCTGGGGGACGCAGCCCAGGAGGGCCCAGCCCCTCCCACCAAGACCAAGGGAAAAAACCGCTTCTGTGCACACGGAGTTCCGCAGCTGCCGAGGGTCTGTCTCAAGGTCATTGTCATGGCCTATGAGCCTCCCGGGAACCCTGTCAGGGCGTGCTGCTGTGGCCCCATTTCCAGACGGGGCTACCAAGGTCAGAGAAGTCCAGTGACATGTCCAAGGCCACAGTGAGGGGTGGAGGCCAGCTCTGACCCCTGCCCCTCCTGCTGCACTTTTCCGAAAAGCGACAGTCATTTATTGATGGAGCACTGACACCCCGGGCCCTGCCTCCCCCCCACCCCACTAGGCACTCTTCCTTGTTTACCTGCGGCCACCCCTGGCCCCGGGCCTGGGGTCTCTCCCTCCTGTCCCCCCAGGCATCTGTCCCTCTCATCACAGTCACCACCCTCTGTTGTGCTTCCAAAGTGAGGTCCTGATGTGCACAGAACACTTTGGGAGAAGCTTTTTTTAAAATAGTTTAATAGTTATATCTTTATTTTCACAAGGATTAGAAAAACCTCAACTTGAAGGTCCAACCACTGATTTCATAGACATCATCCACTGGGGTAGCAGAGAGACAAGGCTTCCTTTCAAGTAAATTCATTTATTCATTCACTCGTTCATTCATTCATTTAGAGAACAGGGAAGGGAGGGAGAAAGAGAAGAAGAGAAATATCGATCCGTTTCCTCTGCACCCCGACCGAGGCCCGAATCCACAACCTAGGCACATGCCCTGACTAGGAATCGAACCGGTGACCTTTTGCTTTGCAGGACAATGTCCAAATCAACTGAGCCACACCAGTCAGGACTCAAACACATTTACATAAGTTCAGTATGAGCTACTGAAACACACACCCCGTTAATCCCATGTGAAGGTTCCCTCACAGGGAGGAAATTCACGATGGTGGCTCCTGACCAAGCGAGGCTGGGAACCCTGGGGCCATCTTCATGGGGACCCAGCACCTCCCCTTGAGGAGCTGTGGCCAAGGGCCCTGGACACTCCGCAGCCCTCTCGCTGCCCAGGACGGGTGGATTCTGCCCACGGCCCCGCTGCTGGAGCCCTACAGCCCTGCTCAGCCCCGCCGAGCCCAAGGGACCTCTCCGTCATGCCAGCCAGCCAGGCTTGTGGCCCCCCCCCTCCCAGAGCTCTGGACACACAGGGGTTCGCTGATTGGGACTGGTCTCCAAGTCTCCTCCCTGCCAGCACTTCCTTCCCTGGCGCCCTCGGGGGACCTCAGGGTGTCCGGGGTGGGACAAACAGTGTGCCCGCCTGAGACAGTCAGGGACTGGGGCGAGGTCCAGGGTCACCCAGGCTCTCCCAGGCGGACGAAAGGGGCCGAGGCAGGGCTGGTAGGGAGGGGTCTGGGCTACCAGAGCAGGCGGTGGGCAGGGCAGAGGGGAAGCGGCGGTGGCGGGGACAGCGGATGTGTGCTTGCGTGCAGCCTGTTGGTGGCTGCAGTCCTAAAACTGGCACGTGGGCAGCCGCGGTGGAGAGGGGGCTGCTGAGCAGGCCTGAGCAGCCAGTGAGCAAGGACGAGCTCCTCCCTGCCTCCTCGAGGTCAGGACTCGCCCCTGGGTGCCCAGGCGTCGGTAGAGGGGAGGGTCGGGGACGAGGCAGAAGCTGGGTTCTGGGGAGTGTCAGAGAGAGGGGAGGAGGCAGGGGTACAACAGTGGTCTCTGAGGGGGGTGGGTGGGAAGGAGGGGCTTTGATTTGAAAAGCTTTAGAGTCTGTTTAAGAACCTTTCAGACCCTCAGCTTTATTTGACACACACGGAAACTAGGCTGGGAAGGAGGTGAGGTGCCCGCACAGCCCAGGGCCCTAGCTCCCTTTCCCCCTCCCTCCTGCAGGGCTGCAGTGGCCTGGGGGCACGGGCCTGCACTTCTGGGTTGGGGGGCCACCCTGTCACCCTTAGGAGAAGGAGGCCCATGGGAGCTCCAGGGCTCGGGCGAGAATTTGCCTCGTTGAGTCGGCCCAGCCACCAGAAGTCAGAGCACGGCTAGGAAAAAAGCCAGGCCAGGGACACCCCGGATGTGGAGTCAGCTCCTTCCCTGAGGGACCCTGGGTTAGCCAGGCATTCGCTCATCCTGTCTGCCGATGGTTCTCTCCCTCAGGGAGCCCAAAGGCGCTAATCTGTAAAATGGGGGTGTTAACCTAAACCCTGCCCGAGGGCACCAAGTGAGGAGCAGGCAAGACAATGGAGGGAAACGTACATGGTTTTGAATTAAAGACATTCCTGGCACAGAGCTGTTGAGCCTTAGCAGAATGGCCTTCCCGTTTCATTACCCCAGATCCCGCTCCAGCCACCCCCCGAGTCCTCACAGCCTCCCTGACCCTCCCTGGACTGAGCAGCCCAGTGGAGAGCCCAGGAAATCGATTCCAGTCCAGCAAGCAGCTGCCCTGAGCAGATCGATGCTTCCTGTTGAATGGCAGGGGGCAGGGAGGGAGGTGTCCGGGCAGGGGTGTGGTGGGGTGGGGTGCCAAGGAGGCCTTGAGAGGGTAAGCAGGACTCCACTGGGGCCTCCTGTGTTCTGCTGGGGCAGGGACAGGGGAACGAAGAGCTCAGGTGGAGAGGCAGAGGCAGGGAGCTCTGAGGGAAGGGGAAGGTTTGGGAGGCCCTGGAAGGGGAGCAGAGCTGGGGTGCACTGGGGAAGGGGCAGAGTGTTGAGACTGAAGGCCTCTGAGGGGCAGGGGCTGGGGCAGCCTGAGAAATAAGTTGGGGCTGGGGGGGGTGGCCCTCTTTCCAAGGACCCGCAGTGTGCAAAGCCAGCCGTGAATTTTCGAGTCAGAGATTCAAGCTACAGGGAAGATGCCCGGGACTGGTGAAACCCAGCTCAGAATAAGGGGAAGGGAAGGGTGGGGAAGGGGCGCTCTGGTCACCCTGGGCTCCGCCCTCCCAGCCTGGGCCGTGGGGAAGGGAACGCCCAGGCAGGGGTGACCGGGAGGCGGTGGGCTCCCCCCAGTGGCCAGCTACAGAGAAAGGCGCAGATGCTTGGGAAGAGGGCGACATTGTTATTTGTTCCACCAATTCCAAATTCCACGTTTATTTATGAGCCTGGTTTATTTTTATCCTCCACTGCACTCTTGTACATGAGATCACTGTAACTCATGATGAGAATTAAGATTCCCTAAGTTTCCGTGGCACCGTCTGGTAAGCCATCAAGCCCATCCCCACCTGGCGTATTTACCCAGATGTCACCATTTACTCTGGCTGCCGGTGGGCAATGTTCACACATGACATCATCTCCAAAGGAAGAGAATGTGGAGAAGAGAGGGGGAGGGAGAGGGAAGGAGAGCGAGGGAGGGGAGGAAGGAGAGGGAACAGCAAAGCCGCAAGCTCCTGGAGAGAGAAAAGGATTCTGGGGCCCCTGTTGTGAGGTCCCCAAGCAGCTCAGGATCTGGGGTTCAGGTCCCTGTCTCCCTCTCCCTGGAGACTGA